TTTTCTCATATTAATCCCATTCCCTTCTATCCTTTCCCCTAGCCCTCCCACTTCCTTCCCCTTTGCCCCTTTTCTTCCTATTTCACATTAGAAAGGTAATATTTTTGTAGCAGACTATGAAGGATGGTTTTTATATTCAGGATATTTATTAACTCTTACTTTTCATTCTGTAATAGTGGTATGCATATGCCTTTTTTCCTGTACTAGAAGACATGAAAATATCTTATGTTCATATAAGATATATGTTACGTGACTGATTCCACCATAAGGCAAACTATAAATAGTTTGAAAACTGTAGTGTTTATTTTGCTGAAATAATAAACACAAACCTCAAACTGATATTAACCCTAATGCACATTTAAAATTATGTACAGTAAGTGATTCATCATAGCAGTATTCTTAAAGCAACTGATCATGTGGTCGCAGCTGTCACATGAGTACTCACCAACTTGGCAGTCATGCATATTGCTTGAATTTATTTTTATTTATTTATTTATTTTTGGTACCAGGGAGCAAACTCAGGACCTTGCACTTGCGAGGCAGGTGGGATGCCACTCAGCTAAATCCCCGGCCCTATATTGCTTGAATTTTAAATCACTTATGCTATGACTTCAGTTAGTTTGTTTTTACATCGGCTATATTTTATTAAATATTTTTTTATATAATAAAATTATTCCTGAATATCCAGCTTTATCCGATAGAGAAATCACCTTATAGCTATTCATCCAGTACACTCAGTTTCACCAGAGTTACATAATTTTATATCTTTTGTTTCCTTTGTCAGTTGGGGCCAGATGTGATGGCGCATGCCTGTAATCCCAGAACTTGGTAGGCTGAGGCAGGAGAATCGCGGCAAGTTCGCGGCCAGCCTGGGCTACATAGTAGGTCCAAGGACAACCTGAATTGCATAACGAGACCCTGTCTCCATGAATGAATGAATAAATAAATAAATAAAAGCCAGAGGAGTCTTTAGCAACATTTCAGCTTGTCCCTTTGAGATAGAATCATACTACTTACTGATTCAAGTTGAATTCTTCAGATGTTATGTTGGCCTTTTTACTTCAGATTTCAAGAAATGCATATTTTAAGTTAGGTCTGTAACTGGTTTGTTGTGGAGACTAGAAAGTCGAGGATGAGTATGTTTACTTTTGTTTCCTACATCACCCTTTCACACCGGAATTTTGTAGTGGTGTGCAGGGGCCTACTCTGAACCACAGAATGAAAACAGCATGTTCTTGTTTTTCCTTTTGTACATTTGCAATTCGTGCACTGTCTTGGCGAGTGGTTACATGTACATATTACAACTTGGTGTTTATTTTGATACCGGGGATCAAACTTGGGACCTTGTGGTTGCGAGGCAGGTGGCGGCACCACGGAGCTACATCCCCGGCCCAGCTGTTTTTTTTTAAATTCCCCGCTCCTTCCCTTCTTTTCTCCATTTCCCCAGCCCCTTTTTTATACTTGTTGATATTATTTGTCTTAGCTCATGTTACAGCATATAGTGTTTGCATCAGTGGGAGTATTAGGCTCCTGCACGTGGCAGATCTTCACCCTTATTTCCCTGCCCCTCCTTCTCAGCCCTTGCCCTGGTTCCCGTCGACAACTTCCCTATTGCAAGAGGTCTGTCCCCGGGTCTCCATCCATCCTCTGTTTCCTTTGTGCTTTGGCTCACTCCAGTGAGAGAAACCATAGGGTATTTAAGCTTGTGCGTCTGGTTTATTTCACTCAGCATTATATTAAAACAGCACATTCTTTTGGAATATGTGTTGTTATCTGGAAAAAGGAAATATTTGCGTAGTCAGACACACTTGGTACAAAATAATTTATTATTTAAAAAAGAAGAAACCAAGACTTTGAAGAAATTTGTTTCTTGAGACTACTTGGGGCTAAGTGCTCATTCTCTCCCTATTACACTTTGTTCTCAACAAATTAAAAAATATTTTAGTTATGGACTTTAACATGTTCACGACAGGGCCATACTTCCTGTGTCCATCTGCTGAGCAGCTCTGAACCACTGGTAGTACACACATGACTATCCCATCGGGCGGCTTGGAACAGGCCCATTCAGTGGTACAAGCCATGCATGGGATGATCATGCATGCCCCCTAGTGATTCAAGCCAGCAGGAATGTGTTAAAGAAGCACTTCCTTATATTGCATAGCAGAGTTCCTGATGGATAATACTGTAGGTACTTAGTAAGAACAGTTTGTCTACTTGATTAAATGCCCTTTATTCTCAAACTCTAGGTTTGAATGGCCAAATCTTTAAGAAATAGCATGTGTAGGTTGGAAACTAGAAGTCTTCCTGTCAGCAAATACTAAATTTATACCATTTGCCTATTAGCATTGTGCTTTGGCCTTAGGTGTATAGTGACTAAGAAATGTAAGGGTTCTTGGGCTCATAGACCTAACCGTCAGGCAGGAAACGGTAAGAGATGTGGTTATGGTGAGCACTGCTAAAGGGGCTGTAGACTCAAGACTGTTCAGAAGTGTTTGCCAGGGGACTGGAAGTAGGGTCAGTGCAAAGTGGTGTACAAGACGAGAGCTCCAGGATGAATGATGCCGCACAAAGGGCAGTGAGGGTAAAGAAGAGGGTTCCGAGAAGTATCGTGGTGGGAATTTCAGGGACAGGAAAGGATGTGGGGCTTTAAAGAACTGCAAGAATTCCAGATTGGCTAGTGTTTAACTGGCGACTTTTGTAGGCATTGAAGAACACAGGAGTGAGAGGGAGACGCCAGATTGTGCAAAGCCTTGCAAGATTTTAGGGCAGTAGAAGACATGAAAGTAGATGCCTTGATTAAATGTCTGTTTTTACTAGTTCATTCAGTCGGACAGAGTAGAGGAAAGGATGGGTGTCGGGAGATGAGTAAAGAAAGTGGTTTTGTCATTGGTGTCCGTAGAGATGATGGTGGCTCAGTTGGAGGCGGCGTGGGCAGTGGTAAGGGAAAGAAGAGCTTTGCCCTGATTGCAGCAGATGGTGTCTGGGACATAGAGGGGTAAAAGTGCGACTGAGGAAGCAATGGAGCGTGACCGAGCACCTCCAGATTAGTCGGCTCAGCAGGAGAGTACGTTTATTGAGACAGGAAGCTTGAACAGGGGAGCCAGGTTTTCTTTTTCTTTTTAAAGATGAATGCCACTTTGAGGTGCTTGTACAACATCTAACTGGAATTGTCAAGTGAGAAGTGGATATGTGAATTGGGAATACAAAAGTCAAGTTTGACCTTGATAAATGTATGTAGATCATCAGTCTTCTAGTAGTATGCAGTTTGAAGAAAGTGGTAGTGGATTTAAATAACCTTAAAAAAAAGGAAAAATGGGCCAGGGATTTAACTCAGTGGTTCTGCTGCCTGCCTCGCAAGCACAAGGTCCCGAGTTGGATCCCCAGTACCGAAAAAAAGGAGAAGTGAGTTGGGTTAGGAAAACAAAATAAAATGTTAAGGCTCTGGTTGAATATGGAAAACATGAATGCGGGGAGAGACTGTCCAGATAGGTGTGCAGAGGTTTCAGAGCCACTCCATGTGCTGTTCTAATGACATTCTTAATATTTGATGTTTTATCACTTATTGAAAGAGAGCTTAGATATAAAAATGTATATCTCGTTTGACTTGAAATAAATTCCTTCTGACCCTTCCGTTATCTTTGGAATGGATGCTCGTTTTACTTTATCTAGAAGACCAGTTCAGCCTTTCAGAAACAGAAGAGAGAAATGAGAAAGTAAGTTTTGGGACTTGTCTACACTTGTGTGAGTTTGAACCTTTAATTCCTTTTGCTCTTCTTCATCTGAAGATTTGGCCATTTTTATAGTACAGAAATTAGCGAAATTATTGCACCTAGCAAAAGTATACCAGAGATCCAAATAGTTTCACTTTAAAGGAATTATTTTCTTACAAACCTCCTATAGAGTACTTTGGTAGCCATTGCTTTCAAAAGAAATACATTTGCAAAGTGTCTCTTTTTCCCTTCGATGTTAATAAATACATCTTTCTTTTTTTTCTTTTAAGCGACTCACTGAACTAAAGCGCCAGTGTTTAGAGAAAGAGGAACGTTTTCAAAGTATTGCTGGTTTAAGTACAATGAAGACTAATTTAGAGTATTTGAAACATGAAATGGCCTGGGCAGTGGTAATTTTCACCTGATTACTTGTTCACATAATTTGTAATATAAAGAATGTATTTGGTGATTATTAGTCTTAATGGTTTGCTGTATAATTTCTTTTTAGGTCAATGAAATTGAAAAACAGTTGAATGCTATCAGAGATAATATCAAAATTGGAGAAGATCGTGCTGCTAGACTTGACAGGAAAATGGAAGAGCAGCAGGTAGTGGATGAAATGATGTGAAATTGCTGACTTTAGACCTTATGACCTATAAAACTGGCAGTTTGAGCTTGAAATTGTGTCTGTATTTGAATTACTACTCAGTTGGAGCGGACCTATACTTTTCCCAAGAACTGTTGTGGCAGCTGTCTTTTGAAAAAGGTACTGGGTTTGACTGTGGTTAAGATGGGGCAAGGGCTACAGATTTCTTGGACTTCATTACTGACTGGAGATACAGGGACGCTAAGGAGCTGATGCAAGAAAGACCTGAGAGACAGAAGTGCTGGGATAACAGTCAGAGGAGCGCCAGAGCCTAGGTATTTGGAAAGATAAGAATTCAGCGCTGAAAGCAGTGCTCAGAGATTGCTAATGGAAGTTGAGGGGGTTGAGTTTTAGGTCCTAGAACCCAGAATCTCTGAGAGAATTTTGTGTAGATGGAACACATGTTAGATGACTTGTTAGGTTTGTTAAGGTTAATTTTTACCTGAAATTTAAAAAGTACTGCAAAATCCAAGAAAGTCACGTAAGTGTTCCATGTGGCTGTAAGGTTGAGTGATAACTCAAGGCAGCCATTCTCTGGGGTTTTCGTAAGAACATTGCTCCCATTCAACATGTGCACTGTCTGTGCTCACCCTTTCTTTCTTTTCTAGAACACTTTCGTGGCATGTAAAGTATATCATTCAATGGGTTTAAGGCCATTCATAAGGCTGTGCAGCGCCCACAGTGGAGCAAGCACCTCATGCTGTCACACTGAAAGTAGACCTCCTGCCTTTTTCTTTACAGATGCGCCTCCCTGTGTACCCTCTGTGTCACTGTGGGTGCTCTAACTCCTAGTATTTTGCTCTGCTCTGCTTAGGAACTTCTGGCCCTCAAACTTAAGGTACAGGATGTAATCCTCCCCTGCTTGCTTCCTGTCTACTTTCAAGATAAGCAGGTGTATCTTTTTCCTTTTAAAGGTTATGATAGTAATCCTTCATAGGTAGTAAATAAATATGTAAAAATTATAGAAATGGTGAAAATACTACATTTACTTAGTGGTCTTTGGCCTGAATTTCTTATTTCCTCTTCAGGTAATAAGTGGAAGTCCAGTCCTTCTCTCTTCTTGCCTGAGATTTTATTTCTCAATATTTTTTCTCTTCTCAGCTTGTTCTAGTATAAGGCCTTTAGTACTTTCCTTCTTAGACATTTCCCAGTGTGAAAATTGAACCTGTCTGACTGGTAGGTGCTTACCCCTTTTCAGATGGTGATGTGTAGTTCTGTGAGGCTTTGCCCCGCCTAAGCATTTGAGCACTCTGTAGTAAACGGCAGATTCCTGGAGAATAGGAACTATCTTACTTCATACTTAAATTCTTCTTACCATTTCGTATGAGAAACCTATCACAAAGTCTACGCTTTGTAATTCCTTGTGGCATGACTATTAAGGTTTCTATGAAGGTATGGTGTTTAAAGCGGACTTTAAACTTTTCTTAACCTAGTTTAAAATAAAATGTGATCATATCATGCCTTATGTTTATAAGATCTGGATCTAACTTCAATTTTTATTTAAAAATGATTTTTCAGCACCTTGTCCTTGGGTGCTTTCGTGCTAAAAATTGCAGGTTTCAACATTGTGACAAAGACTATGGCTCGCAGCGCTCGAAGTTTGCACTGTCTGGCTCTTTATAGAAAGCATGTGCTCACCTCGAATCTAAGCAGTTCTCCCATTTGTCTTTTCTGACCCTGCTTATTTGTCAGTATCTTGCTTTGATCCCTTAAGATTTTTGTTATACAATACTATATTAACTTCTTACTGAAACCTTTTCTTGTAGGGTTTTTCTTCCTCCTTGCCTTGTAAGAGTTTCCAGAGTGACCTAACATGATTGTTTCGCAGTTTTTTATTTATTTATTTATTTATTGGTACTAAGGATTCAACTTGGGTCTATGTGCTTGCACAGCAGGCGGCAAAACCACAGAGCTAAATCCCCGGCCCTGTTTCGCACTGTTTTTAAACTGAGAATTCTGGAATGCAAGACCTGTGGCTAACAGACACTCCTCATGGCAGTGTTGTCTACAAACTCATCACTTTGTCTACTTCTCTACTAAATTGTCTCCCTTTAATTGTCTTATTTGAATATAGTTGTTAAATTTTTGTATCCCCAGAGGATTAGCACATTTGTTGGATAATCATAGATTAAAATGAAATTATATTTTAGTATTATTTATAGTTGTATTTACTTATATAATCTTACATGAAATTAAATTTATTATTGGCATATGGACTATATAATTTAAATTTTGTTTCTCTTTATTGGAGAAAAGTAAAATATACTCAAATAATGTTATTTTCTTTTTTATCTTTTTGGTACCGGGGATCGAACTTGGGACCTTGCGCTTGCACAGCAGGCACCGGAACCACTGAGCTAAATCCCCAGCCCAAATAATGTTATTTTCTTAAAGGTCAAACTTAATGAAGCAGAAAAAAAATACAAGGATATTCAGGATAAACTGGAAAAGATTAGTCAAGAGACAAATGCACGAGCACCAGAATGTATGGCATTAAAAGCAGATGTCACTGCTAAGAAAAGGGACTATAATGAAGCTGAGGTGAGAGAAACTTCAAGCCTGGAGGATTAAAAACTGCAGAGTGAATTTGTACAGAGTGCTCATCTGTCATTAAAAGTAGTGGTTTTATACCTGGGTTGAATTCTTGCTCACCCAATTTTAAAAATGTAGTTATTCCAAGTGGTCATACTCATCCTCTAATTTGAAAAATCGTAAAAGTGGGCTTGAATGGGATAATTCTTTTTTCATTTTACGGAAGGTATAACTAATTTTTTTTAGGTTTTATATAACCGTTCCCTAAATGAATATAAAGCATTAAAGAAAGATGACGAGCAGCTTTGTAAAAGAATTGAGGAACTTAAAAAAAGGTAGGATAGTTACTTTGCAATTTTCACAATTCATTTTGTATTAAAGAAATCTAGTAAGTGGAGTATACTGATACATGCTTTTTAAATGTTAGCTTTTAAAATTTAACATTTTAAAATTTTATATTATTTACTGTTAGTGCTGATCAATTTTTGGAAACAGAACGGTTGGAAAGGCAAAAAAAAATATGTTGGTTAAAAGAGAGATTAAAGGCCTTTCAGGACCAAGAAAATTCAGTCAGTCAAGAGATGGAGCAGTTTCAGCAGGCCACAGAAAAGGGCAGAGAAGAATACGCCCGGATTAGGTAAGTCTTAGCATCTGATAAATTTTTTTTTCAATTACTATTTGAACTTGCATATAGTTTTGCTTGGAATGTGAAGAGAAAGCATGGGTTTTTGTTTCTTCTACAAGGGATCTTTTAAAATCATTGTCAATGCTTACCTTATGCTTGTGTGTTTGGACAGTTTCTGGGGTTCCCTGCTCATCACTATTTTCATACTGAGGTTAGAGAACTACTGGCTTATTTTTGTCTGATAACAATTATTTTCAGATAAAGATTCTGTTTTTAGTTTTTAGAGTAGCTGGATCATTCTTTGGTATGCAGGTATTAGGGTATACTAACGAATATTTCTACGTAACTCACCTCTTCTGTTTTTCTACTTTGGTTTTTTTAGGAGAGAAGAATTAGATGTGAAGCATGCACTGAACTATAATCAGAGGCAACTGAAAGAATTAAAAGATAGTAAAACTGATCGACTAAAACGATTTGGTCCTCATGTTCCAGCTCTTCTGGAAGCAATAGATGATGCTTACCGACGGGGATATTTTACCCATAAACCTGTAGGCCCTTTAGGTATTTGTCATGGTTTACTGAAGGTGAAGTAAACATTAGGGATAAATTTTATTTTCAGGAAACAGTCTACTGAATCTAGTTATAGTAATGTATGTAATCTTTAATTGTACATATTTTTTAAAACAATGCTAAAATCACTTTAAACTTTGTAGTCCTTTTGAACTTATGAAGCACAAAACACTCAAAGGAAAAGTAATTATAGAGTTAAATCATTTGGTTCTCATTTTTCTCCTGAATGAATAAATTAATTTGAATAGAATTACTCAGATATTGAATGGGATCAAGATACAGTGAAAAGAACATTCATCTGAATTTTATGTAGCCTTTATAAAATGACTTTTAATTCTTAGGTTTTATTTTGACTGGACAACATGATTTCCAAATCATCTTTCAGTCCTAAAATCTGTAGCTATTGAATTATGTTTATACATACATGTGACCTTTTTTTTTTAAGTTTTTAATCAGATTCTCCTGGGGAGTTATCTCTAATTCGGTACATCACTAGGTAATAATGATGCTATAAATACCTTTAATTACTAAATTGCATTTAATGATGGCAGTAATGTCTCTTAACACATTCATGATGGGGCCATAATTGATACGTCTTGGTGCCTGGTGGCTCTGAACCACCGGTGGTACATGTGCAACTGTCCCATTGGGTGATGCAAGTCATCTGATGGGTTAGTCGCACATGTACCACCAGTGTTTCAAGCTGGTGGGAATGTGTTAAATGATAGGCACCTGTACACTGGGATCCATTTTACTGAATGAATTTTCCCCCATCTTGAAATCTAAAATTGCATTAATTGGTTTTCTAGAAAATGATAGTAAATCTTTTGGCTTGGTTTCAGAACATTAATGAGAAGCTTGAATGGTATAAACTTACATAGCAAAGCTACTTAACTGCTCATGTACATTGGAGTGGAACAATTTTTTTTCACAGAATTTTGTGGCTATTTTCCCATGTGTATCTAGTGGATAGGCAGGGATTTTTAACTCAGTGAAAATGAGATCTGTAACATCATTTGAACTACTTAACACAAAAATATCGTTGTTGCTTAATGAACTGTTATGAAAAGGAATATATTAATATTTCCAAATAAAAAGAGCCCTTCTTTATGATTTTTTGTCATTTTCAGGAGCTTGCATTCATCTTCGGGATCCTGAGCTTGCCTTGGCTGTTGAATCCTGCTTGAAAGGGCTTCTTCAAGCCTACTGCTGCCATAATCATGCTGATGAAAGAGTCCTTCAGGCATTAATGAAAAGATTTTATTCTCCTGGGACCTCACGGCCACAGATAATAGTTTCTGAATTTCAGAATGAGATATATGATGTAAGACACAGGTAATCCAATTAAAATACTATTTCTGGTTTTGCTTAATCATGTGTAAGGTTGGAAAAAATTAAAAGACTTCATGTTAACTGTATCTATAGTCCTGTAAAATTTCATTAAGCCACTTTGATTTTAGTCTGAGCATTCTAGGCATTGGAGAAATGTAGAAAAGAGGTTCTTATCTAAGAACTTTGAGGTTTTTAACGTAAGTTCTGTTGTGGGAAGATGATTCAAAGAACCAGCTATACTGTAGCATAGAAATTACACTGATAAAGGAAACGATACAGACCTAGCCAAATGGGGACAGAGGTCCTGAGGAAGAACATTGGCACTTACTACCTACAATTAAATTCTCAAAATACTTTTACAAAATGCACAGAGAGCTTTGTTTTCTTAGATGACCCTAACAGACTTTTCCAAGGGCTCAATCTCCAGACTGATTTGTTGGGTAACTACTGGCTGAATCCTACTTTGGAAGTCGATGTCCATGAGCCACAGGCATTGGTGCGTGCCTGTTGTCCCAGCTGCTCAGGAGGCAGAGGGGTTTTGAGTCCAGAGGTTCAACCCCAGCCTGTGCACACATAGCCAGACTCTCTCAAAAAATTAAACTTTTTATCTATTCCTAGATCACATTGTAAAATTTCTCTTCTATTTCCAGTTTTTTCCTATGAATTCTATTTTTGCTTTTTTTAGAGAAAAATTAAGTTGGAAGCTATGTCCTTTGTATTTGAGTAAATTTGTATGCAGACAGTGTCTTTCTAAGATTTCTTTGTGGCGTTGATAAATTACATCGTAAGATGCAGGCGTGGTTCAGAGGAGGGAGTTGCTAACTCATGAAACGTGATGGAAAACACGGTTGATTGTTTAAATTGTAAAATGTACTGCAGTGAAAGACACACTGTTATTAATTTCCTCACAATATTCCAACTTTGAATGCACTTATCTCATCGTTCTTGCCACTCTTTGAAGCCATTCTGGAGTCCTTCTTCATGAATGCCTTTAGTTGTGCTGTTGTGCTGGGAGGCATCGATATCCCTAGTCGATTCACACAGTTCCCCTTTCGTGGACAGTATGGCTTTGGGAAAAAGCCGGAGTCACACAGGGCAAGACCTGGTGAATAAAGGGGATGAGGACACATTATGATGTTTTTGTTTGACAGAAATTGCTGTACACATTTGATCAGTGGGGAGAGCAGAAAATAAGATGAACGCTTACATTTTTAAAATTTATTACAGGAAGCAACACCTTGCCATTAACCCCCCCCCCCCCATTGCTCCTTGCTTTGAACACATCCCATTGTTTTTGGCAGTACATCCTAATCGTTCACCGTATTCTCTAGATCACCCCTTGTGGTAGGTAGTTGATGAGGAACCATCAGTCTTCTAAGCAACAGAAAAGGTTAACTGCCTTCGGGGCAAGTAAAATTATGTGAAGGATGCACGGAGCCATGACAGTCTTAAGTTATTGTGCAAAAAACATCATTTGCAGTTTGGATAAGGAATCGAATAAAAGATATTCAGGGCCTAATAAAACTTATTAATTGAATGTAAAGAAGAAAGAATCAAGTATGTCCTCTGGGTTTCTGGCTAGAGTAGCTAATGCGTATACCATCAATTGATTTAGCAGAAGTAGAAGGAAAGAAAAGTAGATTCATCAAAAGTGAGTGAAATCCTGTTTTGAAAGTGTTGATTTTTTTTTTTAGCTTTTAGGCTAGAGATAAGTATTTTCGAGTTAGGGGTAAAATGTTTTCTCTCTCCGCATGAGAATTTGATCTGTGTTTATTTTCAGCTTTGATCCCAGGCTTCTGAAACAAGTGAAAATGAAATTTCAGTTGTGTTAACAAATGGCTGTGGTGAAAGTGACCCCTGGTGGAAAGGCCTGCAGAGGCATGCTGCTTACCTTGTGGTAGCTGGGAAGCAGTGAAGGGAGGTACACCCTCTCACATCTCACCCTCAGGGACTTGCCTCTTCCAGCCAGTCCCTGCGTCCAGCAGCAAGTCAGCTATAGGCCCGCATAATCCATGACCTTCCGGAAGTCTCACCTGAGAGGGCACGAGGCTCTTGGGGAGACATCTAGATCTAAACCACAACACCAGCCTACGTGATTTCCAGTCACTTAGCAGTGTAACTGTAACCCCTGTGAAGGGGCACAACGGTGAACTAAGTTGGTGAGGCACGGAGTCCATTAACGTGGAAGTATGGGAGTTCATGTGCTGAGAATGAGGGCCTAAGGAGTTGAGTAGCAGGTTTGGGAGTTACTCTGTAATGGTGTAGATCAGCTGCCAAGAACCAGTGAGGAAGCGGACTCAAAGCCAGCTTAGCCTACAGAAATGTATAGAGGCTGCTAGATAGTTTACTAATCATGTAGGTTTACCCATAGATGCCAGCGTTCTGTTGGGTTAGTACTGCAGTAGTTTTTAGAGAGCAGAGTGGGTATGACAGAGGAGAGGAGGAGAGCAGTTAAGATGCTGTTGAGAGAGTGTTTGAAAGAGAATGAGTCTTTGGAAGATAGGAAGTTATGGTAAGACTGAAAAATTTAAAGGCTTTTGGGATCTGATCCAGATTCTGATGACGGCAAAATTCATGTTTTGGCTTCAAGAGTATCACTGAAGCACACAGTCATTGGAGTAGAAGTTAAGATTCTAAGCATTTTGCCTGTTGATGATATGGACAAGAGTGTCTTGTGTATTCGGTGAATTTTAGCTGCATTACATATTTTGAAGGGGTGATTTTTGTGTGTGTGAAAAACTAAATTGTGGTTAAAATGCTAAATTTAAAAATCAGACGTTATTTTAATGTAAAAAAGAACAATGAAATACTACAGTCATAGTTTGATTCTTGACTGCTTTAAAAAGTTGCCGTATTTGGTACACACATATTGTGACACATTCAGTTCTCGTGGTTTGCTTGGTACTCTGTGCAAGTTAGAACTTGTGGGTGTCGATTGCCTCGTGACTCGCTACTCTCATCCCAGCTCAGATAGTTTGTTTAGTGCTCATTGTACCTCCCAGAACCAATTAAGAAGTATGGAGATAGCACTGTGTTAGTGTAGATGGATAGGACTGGTTTCCTTCATTTACAGTTACACTAGGTAACCTCAACAGAGAGTCCTAGAAATGTGCCTAGCACTCAGGGAGGTGGTCAGGAAATGTACTCTCTTTTCTGTTAAGATGGCCATTTCCTCCCTGTAGAAGTAGAGGCGGTAGAACTGCTTACCTTGTGTTCCCCACTCTAACTGTGGCTCCATCTGCACTCTTGCCTTCTCAGTAAAGACATGTTCTTTCTAAGGCTCTTCTGCTTGTCTTGTGAATTACATACTTTCTTGCCTGATCATGAATCATTTTAAAAGTCTCTCCTGAGCCTCAGGCTTTCCTGTTCCATTGACTTCTCTCCACCTTAAATAGGCAAGGCCAAACTCTTGCAAAGGATCCTGTGCATTCGCTTCTTTCTGTTGTCCTGGAATGTGTGTATGTTTTTGTAGATATGTTCACTTTCTCTTAAGCACTAGGTACTATTAGATACACTTTAAAACCATGATTCCTTTTGTTTTTATGACAGCATTTTCTGGGTTCTCCTATACTTTCCATGTTTCTCAGCCTATTTTGTGGGGTTTTCATTTCTTACTCCTTTTGTTGCAGTGCTCTTTATCTCTTCTTTATTCTTATATTTGGAGCCTTTTAAAAGTGTGATAAATTTTAAGCACTTTTTTCCTAAGCTTAAATTCAGTTGTGTCCTTTTTCCTTCTGTGTGGCTTTTAGAAATCAAATGTTTCAAGTGATTTTTAAAAAAGCTTCAGTAGGGTCATAAAATAATTTTTTCCTGGAACTCCTCTTACCAGTGAAGCTTCTTCTTTTCCCCCAGATTTTATGTGTAGTTTTCCTTTGCTCCTGTGTTTTCTTTGGGCTTTCTACTTGATTTGGTGAACCTACATCATATTATCCTCTCCTTGTCTCCTGACACTGATACCTCATTGCTAAAATTCTGTCTTTGAATATTTCTAGACTGATTTTATAGCATCTCCTAACTTATAATTATTTATGATAAGCTAATTATAGTGTGACCCAGTACGAAGTCAATCTTGACAGATAGCAAGAAGATATGGCTGTGTCTTGGTGCTTGAGAGCAAGCTAGTAGTAGCAGCTCCGTAGAACGATGACCACGTGCCTGCCCAGATGTCACTGGAATCTTCTCCCTCCTCCCCTACCTTTCTGTTCTCTTTCCTTTGTCTGCTCATTTCCTGTTTTGTTTCCCTGACACTGTTCCCTGATCTTTTCTACTCGTTTTGACTTCCACTTGAACTGTATCCTAGGAGGCCATTTTAGCTGTTACTCTCTCATTTCTGTGTTTCGTTTTATGGGAATACTCTTCAACAGAGCTGTCTGTGTCTCCCAATCTCTCTCTTTCCCTCTTTTCTTGAACCTACTCCTGCCTTGACTTTTTATCACATACCAAAATCGCACTTGTCAGGGTGACAGCAGTCCCCACACTGCCCCGCTTAATAGTCAGCCCTTACTGTTCACTGACCATAGCTCCCTAAATATTTGACCCTGGTGATGATTTTATTCTTCCTGAAATATGTTTGCACTTGGCTCCAGGGACCACGTTCTTCTGATCTACCTTTTCCTCAGAAGTTCTTTCTCAGTGCCTTTTTCTTCTTTCTCTTCACCTCTGACTGTACCAGTACTCCTGACCTCTGCTTAGTGCTTACTTCCTCCTCAGGTGAACTCTCCAGTTTCATGGCTTTAAAAACAGATCATATACTCATGATTACCAAGGTACATCACTACTCACTCGACTCCTTCTTCTGAACTCTAGAATATAATATACTCTTTTCCACTTAAATGTCTAATAGGCATTCGAAACCTAAGAAATCTAAAAGCTAAACTCCAAATTTCCACCCCAGAACCCACCCCTGTTATCTTTTCCATCTTCATTTATTTGATGAAGCCAAACCCATTGGTCTACTTGACTCCACATACCTGTTGGCATACTCTAAAAATAGCTCCAGGATCTGACACCTGTGGCTTCCATTCTGGTTCAAGCCTCCTTCATGTTTCACTTGAGTAGTGAAATTGATAGGCTGATTTTCCTGCTTCTGGGTCACTACAACCACAGTCTTAGTTTAGGCAGCAACATTCAGGTGGGTCCTGTCACCACTCCATAGAAAGCACCCCAGACTACCTCAGGACCCTCTATTGTGGCCCTGCCTGCCACCCCTGATCTGTCTTCCACCTTCTGTGCTGTTCTCTCTCTACAAGGGTTGCCCTCACTGCTCAGTCCACCCCAGCACTCTGGCTGGCTGGTTTCATTCATGTCCTTTCAGGGCCTTTGCAGTTGCTCTTCCCCCAAAATCTCCCATCTCCTTAGTGTCTCCCCAGTCACATTAATGAGGCTTTCCCCTTTTTGTGTGTGAAAAAACAATATATCCTACTTTTGCCTTTTTCTTGTAATAAAATGGAAGTTCCATGAGGACAATTGACAGTCTGTTTTCTTTATGGCTCTCTCTGTTCTCTGGAACAGCACCTAGTACCTGATAGATACCCTGTAAATACTTGTTGAATTAATGCATGAATAAGTACAGTACATACACAGTACACAAAGGTATTTTCCTTGTTTTGGAATTCTAGGACTAAGAAAGCACTAAGAGTGCTTCCTCTATTACCCCTCAGGCCTTTGTTGCTCCTATACCTACTGTTCTTAGCACATGCATTTTTATTTTGTTTTATTTTATTTTTTTGTTACTGGGCATGGAACTCAGGACCTCGTGCTTGCCAGGTAAGTGTTGTGCTACTGAGCTACGTCCCCGGCCCAGTGTATCCATTTTTAGGTAGTGCTTTTAATAGTACTTGTTTAACTTTTTAATTGAAAGACTGAATCTCTCTTTAAGGAGCCCACATTTCAATTTATAATATCTTTTCTTTCTTTCTCTGTTGATAATAAACGTTACGTAGGTTTTTCTTGTTTCGTATCAGTGAGGTAGTAGTTCAGCTATTTAAAGTATATTTTATTTGACTTTTATGTTTATGACTGCAGTATGAGATTTAAGGAAATTATAACTTTAAATTGTAAATAACCTATTACACATTTTAAATGTTATCAGATACTTTATATTGTCTTATAATCCTATCCAGTAAAATATATACAAACAACTTTTGTTTATATATCTTTATAATTAAAGTTTGGTAAGTTAAGCCCTTTTTTTTGTTTCTTAGAGCTGTTCATCATCCAGAGTTTCCAACAGTGCTGACAGCATTAGAAATAGACAATGCAGTTGTTGCAAATAGCCTGATTGACATGAGAAACATAGAGACTGTGCTGCTAATCAAGGCAAGACTAAATGCTTTCTATAAATGGGTTATTTTTAAATTTTCAAAACAAGATGGTTTTATAAATTTACTCCTTTTCAACATGAAGTTATTGATAAAACCATTGTAGTTTACTTCATAGAAAAACCTACAGGATAATATAGAGCTGGTTGGGTTGTGTTTTCTTTCCCAGGGGACCTGACAAGTTTAGGCTACTCTTTGTAAAATAATTACACAAATGTATATTATTCTCTTGGTGCATATTGCTATATTGCTGTACATTTTTTTTTTTTTTTTTGGATATGGTCTCACTGTGTAGTTCAGGTTGCTCTTGAATTCACTATGTGGCCCAGGCTGACTGGCCTTCAACTCGCATCAGTCTTCCTGCCTCAGCCTCCCAAGTGCTGGGATTACAGGCATGTGCCACCATGCCTGGCTGGTTTTTTCTTTTCTTTTCTTTTTTTTTTGGTACCAGGGATCAAACTCAGGACTGGCTGGTTTATTCTTTATTGGCTGTCAAATCCCTTTTTTATTTGTCCTTATTGATAATACATATTATTATTGTCTTAGTTACTTTTCTGGTTTCCAAGACAAAATATCCAACACCCAAAGTAAAAGGAGGGAAGGTTTGTTTGGCTCACAGTCAGTCTGTAGTTGGCTGGCTCCAAGGCAGAGTGGCCTGGCAGAGGAGCGTCACGGGGAGAAACAATTCATGGCAAAGCAGGGCAGGCACAGGGTAGCCAGCAGTGAAGTAGCAAGCAGCAAGTAACGGCAGCAGCCCTCTTTCTGTCTTTTATATTCTATCCAGGCTGGATGACCTTAGGGTGGGGAGCGCTCACACCTAGGGTGAGCCTTTCCATTTTCCACACCCGGAACTATGCCAAACCAGTCAGTGGACTAATTTAGTGATCACACACCCTTGATCCCAGCATCACCTGCTCTAGATCCAACCACTTCTGAAAAGCCCCACCTATGGGCTTTGGGGGGACATCTAGATATAAGCCGTAACAATTATTATACCTCCTAAATGAAATACTTGACGTTTATGAATTCTCTTTTTTGTAACTTTATGCTGTATAAAATAAATCTTTACTTAAGATCTGGGTATGTACTTTTATGTACTTTTGAGGCCAGATTACTATATTCTGTTTCATCATTTGGCATAAATTTACTGAGCAGGATACAAGGAGCTCCAAAACAAGTCTAGAATCAAGACAACATAATAAAAGTCTAGTTTTCTCATTAATGGAAACTGAAAAGGTCTTGATAATACAAATGTGTGTATGCAAGGTCATACTGTAATTATTTGTGAGTTTGGCACTTGTGTTGTAGAAGAGTACTTGAAAGTAAATAATGTTGTAATGATCAGGAGGGTGACTAGGCCCTGACTAACCCTAATCCACCTTTTACTTTCTCCAGTTCTTAGTTTTCCTGGCCTTCTCTTACTGGGATTTGCTAGTCACACATATCTTTTCTGTGGTGTAAAAGTCATTTAGAAAAAATATTGTCTGTATGAACTTGTCTAAAGTAAATATATTTATGTAAGAAGTTACTTAAAAAAAATTTTCATGTTTAGTGAGTAGTAATACTAAAATTTAAAAATAAGGCAACCAGTTTGTCAAGAAGCATCATATACTGAGTTTTAAAGAATAGTTTTAATTCTTTGAATCTCGAGACTTAATTCTTACATTTAAGTTAGTAGAATTTTCTTATTTGAATATTTAAGTAAGAATGCTTGAGTTATTTTAAATAATGACTTAATATTTCAAAATTGTGTCCATTGGAAATGCTTTCACATTGTTTCAGAAATGTATTTTTGTCCCTCTTCTAGAGTAATGCTGTAGCTCGTGCAGTAATGCAGTCCCAACAGCCACCCAAAAATTGTAGAGAAGCTTTTACCGCTGATGGTGATCAGGTTTTTGCAGGACGTTACTATTCATCAGAAAATACAAGGCCTAAGTTCCTAAGCAGAGATGTGGATTCTGAAATAAGGTTGGAAACAAGTCTAGCTTTACTATATTTTTCCTATTGCTTCTTTTGGGCTCCTGTCTCCTTTGTATCACTCAGTTATTTCAGTGAAGAAGTGTGAGTAATTTATCTCATTGTTTGGTCCTAAAAGATCATTTAGTTAAATGTGGAACTGTAGGTTAACAGGTACTTTCCATTTTGCCAGCAGCATTCGGGTTTGAGAATAGAAAATGTATTTCCTTGACCAGCTCGCCTACATATTGGTACCTGTGTACAAGGAGAAGAAGCCAACTCAGAATGTGAATGAGCTACATCACTGTGCTCAGTGCTGAGCTGAGCTGTTAAGTTCTCAGTGAGGATCCAGTGTGCTGCTAGGTTACAGCTCAAGCTCCCTATCCTGTGTCTGGCAGGTACTTTGGGTTGTACTTTCAGAACCATCATCAACACGATTAGAACATATGCCTAGGACAACAGCTGCTAGTAAAAGAGACTCGTTGAGAAGTTAAACAAAAAACTAGTAATGTATTTAATGATATTCAAGAGTATGCAAAAAGAATATTTGATATTGTAAAATACATAATTTCTCAACTAATTGTGAATTTCTGAGTGGACCTGAATTAATAACTTAAAAGATTGTTACCAAAACATAGAACTTCAGTAAAAGAAATATCTAAGAAAATAGAGCAAAAGTAAACATATTCTAAATGACTTGTCTAAATGTGTAGGGGAAATGAGAATTTTGTTAAGATAGGTTTATTATTTTCAAGTAATATTGGTCATTTTCATGTGATTTATGAGTGCAGCATAAAATAACTACTGGAAAGGTTTCAGCAACAGGAAAAAAGTTGAATGATGAGCAGTTTGGTTATCATGGCACATGATTTTGCTAATCCCAGTACAATTTGCGGTTATGAAAGTATACATAATGTAGAATCAAGCTCTCAGAACACTGCTGCAGTTCGTGATTTTTGAACTGTAACGTTTTATTTTGTAAAGTATGTTTTTGAAATTTTATTTCATTTTCATTCACTTTCATTCATTCCCTCAAACCGTAAGTATTTAATGTTTACCTAATGTGCCAGGCACTCATTTAGGTACATGGCACAGCTGGAAACTAAGTGCAAAACTTTTTCTCCTGGAGCTCAGGGGGGAGGAGGAGGAGGAGGAGGAGGAGGAGGAGGAGGAGAAGGAGGAGGTGGTAGACTGTGAACAGCAGGTCAGGTGGTGGTCGGTACTGTGGGGACAGATGAAACACAGTGCAGGGTGAGAGCAAGCAGCCCCTGTGAGTGTGTTCAGGAACACTCACACAAGCAGCTCACACACTTAGCTCAGACTTCATCTTCCATTAGTGGCAAATGTTCTTTCTCCTTTTAAAAGCTACATGGAAATGAATGACAAGTTGTCTTACCTAGCAAAATGATGTTGTAAAACTTAGCAATTTTGTGGTTAAGTTATTTTGGTTGCTGGAATGTATTCTGAATGTTCAGAAAATTATTTAATAACTGCTGTCTTTGATCATTTTGTTGGTTTTTATTTTGGTTTAGGCTGTTAAGTTTCCATATTTGTTTACTTGGTAAATCTTGTTTTTAGCAACAGTACTGTTTGTTTTGGTACGGGGGACCTCGCGCTTTCGAGGCAGGTGCAGTACCAGCTAAATCCCTGGCCCCATCAGTACTGTTTGTTAATGAAGGTATAGATTTATATATGATAAAAGAAATCATTCCTAGTAAGTGTTGAGCCATATTTAAATTTTGCATCTGGTCCAGTTTTTGTCAGAAGTGGCGCAACTATTCTTTTTCTCCATTTTTAGCATTCATTTATTATCTGTCCAACTCACATTTATCGAGCTTTTTTTAAATTTGAAAATTCCAGCAAGCTAGCACAGTTGCTTTATAGACCAGTATATATCTTATGTACCAATAAAAAGGAACAAAATGCTGCTAACTTTGAACTATGGATTGGAAAATGGTTTCAGATTTCTAGAGATGTTGTAATGTGGAAAAATAGGCATCTTTTTTTCCCCCCAACTTTTTTTATGAGTGTGTATTGTTTATACAGATTGATGGGTCCAATTTTGGCACATTCATACATGCATCAGATGTTATATACTTGGATCATTTTTACCCCTCATTAACCCCTTGGCCCACCTCCCCCTAGTTTTACATTAGGGGGCTGGGGCAAAGGGGTTCCATACATATAATGGCCTTGAACTCACTGTGTAGTCCAGGCTGCCCTGGAACTTACAGTGATCCTTTGGCCTCAGCCTGCTGAGTGCTGAGGTTACAGGCGTGCATCACCATGACCAGCTAACATATGATGTATTTGGATCATAGCCTGCCCTCTTGAGCAGGAAAAAGTTGTTCTTCACTGCAGAGGTGGTTCTAAGCACACTGTTTTGGAAAACCAGGACCTTGATCCGTGAGGCAGGAAGATTGTTTCTAGAGGCACCAGACCCTGTTGTTCATAGCTGTGGCATCTGTCTCCTGTTCCTATTCATTCCATACATTCTTGGCATATTTTCTCTTACAAGAAATGTTGAATTACTAATTACTTTTGCCTTTATCACTAGCTGCCTTTGTGTATTTCTTTTGTCATTTCTCCTAGTAGGCCCAGCTGATGGAAACCCTAGAAAATGCAGTTATTGCTCCTCCCAGATTCATTTTTGTGTTCCCATAGTTCTGTGGACATCCAGCATTATGTCCTGTCCGTTTTATTCCCTGATTGTCTTCCTTTTGAGAAGTTGTATCTTTTTTTGTGTTTTGGTTGTTTGTTTGGTATTGGGGATCAAACTCAGGACCTCAAGCTTGCCAGGCAGGCACTGTGCTGCTGAGCTAAATCCCGGCCCAAGATTGTATCTTAATTCTACTTCTATCCAGCAACCATGCACAATGTCAGCACATAGAAGTCATTATAAATTCTTGTTGGGAAAATAACAATTAGTTCTCTTTGTGGGTGTATTTTGGTATTTCTATAATTGTTTCATGTTATTAATAACTTGGTAGGACAATAAACTGGTGTAACAGATTAGGAATTTACAAATAAGGTATTGCAAATATTTGTAATGTTGAGAAATACATTTCAAGTGTTTTTTGTCTCCTTTTCTCCATTAAGCAACTTGGAGAATGAAGTTGAAAATAAGAGAGCCCAGTTAGTAAATCTTCAGCAACATTTATCTGCCCGTGAAAAGGATGTTAAACAAAATGAAGAACTTCTTAAAAGGTGCCAGCTACATTATAAAGAGTTAAAGGTAAAAACGAAAAAATTCGTTCTGTTTGTCTCAACTTACTCTGAAATTAATTTTAAAATATTGTCATTCGCTTCAAGCAATAGTTCTTAGACACGTGGGCCTCAACGTTTTTTTTATATTCTCAAACTAGCTTTCATTTGTATGGGTTATCTCTATTAATATTTTTAAATTAAATTTTTGCTCCTTGGTCTTTGGCTAAGATCAAGTCTTAAATTGAAGAATATTTAATTTTTAAATAATATTAAAAGTATTTTTTAAAACCAAAAATATTTAGTGAGAAGGTGGGCATTTTTTAATTTTTGTAATCTCTAATATCTGGTTTAATAAAATTCAGTCTGTTGTGATATTACATATCATCTATTAGCGACTACATGTACACTGGTGAGAAAAGTGCTAATAAAAGTGGTAATTAACACCTCAGTGTTTTTATGGATTGTATTGACCGTATGGATTTCCTGAAAAGGGCTTCGGGCCTCCAAGTGTTACTTGGCTCTTACTTTGAGAACCACTGGATTAGAGAATTCTAATGACTTGAGACTTGGGATATTTCAAAAACTATTTTCTCTGTAGACTCACAGTGTCATCCTTTTAAATGCTAAGATGGATGACTTGCATCTTGGGACTGGATTAGCAGCAAGGGTGATGATGGCAGAATTTTTAACCTCCATTCAATGCTGATGTACCCCTTTCATCAGTTATATCTGTGTCATAAGCATGGAGCTTTATGAAATAGCTCATCCTAAGTTTTTTATTTCTGATTTATTTTTATGTTATTAAATTCTAAATACTTTTCTTTCAGATGAAAATAAGAAAAAATATTTCTGAAATTCGGGAACTTGAGAATATAGAAGAACACAAATCTGTAGATATTGCAACCTTGGTAAAAATGCTTTTCTTCAATTAAAATGCTTTTTAAAATCCTTTTGGTTAAAATTACTCTTAGTAACTTTATCAGTCATAAATTTAATAATCATAAACTTATAATTTAGTAAACATAGACTTAGTAATAGATTATAACTTTAGTAATCATAGATTGCTGTCTCCATAAATATTGTAGAAGGAGCTATGTGGTACATAGCCTGATTTCTTAATGTTTTATGTATATAACTTATATCCATAATTAAGTTTATCTTATACCTGAAAGAAAACTCTATTGAAACTTTATTGTGCTTTTCAACAGTGACTTATCAAACACAATGTTTTCACACAAGCACTCTCAGTTAAGAACAGTATCAGTGTGAATGTGCAGAGATGTCAAGAGTGCCCTTTGGTCAGTTGTAATTGGCCTCTTTTCATTATTTTCTTTTTTTCTAAGTTAATGGCTTTCATTTTAATCTCCATATATTTGTTATTCTATATTTCCTTTGAGTATTTGTATATGACATTCAGGCTTAGCTTTTACCAGGGTTCAGTAAACAGTGATATAAAATATGAGTCTTGGGCCGGGGATTTAGCTCAGTGGTTTTGATGCCTGCTGCGCAAACACAAGGACCCGAGTTCGATCCCCAGTACCAAAAAAAAATATGAGTCTTGCTAAAATGAATATTTACTGAGTGTCCACCCGTCAGGCAGCACATTTAAGTAGTGAGGAATAAACAGTGGACAAAGCAGGAAAATTCTCTGTGCTGATCAAGCATAACTTTAATGAATTGTCATGGTTTTTTTGTTTTGTTTTGTTTGTTTTGTTTTTTGTTGCCGGGGATCGAGCCCAGGACCTTGCGCTTGCGAGCCAGGTAGCAGAACCACTGAGCTACATCCCTAGCCCCCTTTCACAGCACACCGTGGTGATCTAACACAAGGTGCCTGCGAGGTTTTTGGTTTTGTTTTTTTGTCATGGTTTTTTACTGGTAGTTTTATTTCTCCTTTTTACTTTGATCTAATTTGTTGATAACCTATAATTTCTCCTCTCATAATTATTTTTTTGATAACAAGTATATTTACTAACTGTGAACTCTTTAAATGTTATCAGGAAGATGAAGCTCATGACAATAAAATCAAAATGAAAATGACTGAGAAACAGATGGAACAACAAAAAGAAAGTTTGGAGCACTTTAAAAGTCTGAAAAAAGAAGCAGAGAACAAGTATGATACAGTTAAATTGAAAATTAATCAACTATCAGAACTAGCAGATCCACTTAAGGTATATGTCTTTGTTAATTTGCTGTCTATTTCATGTTTTAGTTTTTATATCCAGCCTATGCTCCTTTACTTGTGTTTTGTTTTTGGTTTTTTTGTGGTACTGGGGATCGAACTCGGGACCTTGCGCTTGCGAGGCAGGCAGCAGAACCACTGAGCTACATCCCCAGCCTGCTCCTTTACTTGTGGACATGATCCTAAAAGAATTACTGGCTAGATGTAAATATATCCACATCAAATAGAATGTGACGAATGGTAGGAACCAAATTTTCATCATTAGATCAATTAGTACTAAAAACCTTTGCTTTCGGTTGTAGGAGAATAAACTGGGTGGATTTCTGTTTCCTCCAAAAGAGTATGGTTTTTATTGCCTCTTTTAGTTTATGGGTTTTTTCCCATAGTAATCAAAAGTCGGGACGTCTTGCAGTGTAAACTGTTCTGTGCTTTCCTGTTCTATTGTGCCACCTTTCCAATAATGACTGATGGATTGATTAATTTCTATAAAAACCAACTTGAAATAAAAAGTGCCACCCATCTCCTGCTTATCATCATATCCCCCATATTCTAGGCTGAATTCATTAGACTTTTTGGGATTAAATTTAGGAAAATAAAATTATTTATTAAATTGTGTAAATTTCCCATCTTGCTTAGTAATTATCATGTACCTTATTGTCATTGTGACTCATTTTTATGAATATCTCAGTTATTTTCAGGACCTCAAGTTTTATTTATTTATTTATTTATTTATAAGACACAAAATAGTATATTTTAAGAGAAGAGAGGTATGTTGATGATATCACTCTAATTTTCAGGGAAATTGCTTCCTTTGAATCATAATGTGTTTAGCTATCTTACAAATTTAAAAGAATTTGCAGTATATGAACTTTACTTGTCCTCAATGAAAATTTTAGAAAGCATTATTCAGAGAGTCGAGAGAACATTAAAGCACAGTTGAGGAAGAACTGCACATAAGCAACTCTTCCCTGTCTGAGGCACTGGTTTTTCTGTAGTTGCTTTCCATCTGGCTGAGACTCCTAACCCAAGGTGGCTTGATTGTTTTTCTTTTTAGGGTGAAAAGGATAAAAAAAATGAGAAATTAAGTTGATAAATTAACTGATTAAGACAAATATAAAATTTAAGTATTAAATTTAAAAGAGGGAAAAATATTATTGAAACGATAAATGAGAAAATACTACTCTAGAAAATAAAAATTTAAAACAAAAATTAAAAACAAAAATTCCAAGAATCAAAAAGAAGATAAGGAATGAAATAAATGTTAAAAATTTCAAGAATATAAAAAGTAGAATTTAAGACTCAGGAATTAACGGTGAAATTAGAATAAAGGGAAGATAACATTTACAAACGTTTGTATAAGGAAAAAATTGAACAGGATTGTTTTAAAGGCAAAAATAATAAAATGTGCTAAAGCTATAGAAAATAGATTAGTATGTAAATTAATAGGAAGTGACGAAGAGTAAGCTATATATTGTTCTTTGTTTTTTTTGTACGGAGTTCCAACCAGAGCCTTGTGCATGGTAAGCAAACACGCTACCACTGAGGATAAAGGCTACCAGCGTTTGTTCTGTTCTTTTAGGGTTCTCTAGGCCAAAGCAGCTGCTGGATTTGGGAGTCCATAAATAAGCTCGAGAGCAGAAACTGTGGGCATAAGGCAGTAACAATTCTTGGTCTTAGCATTTTGCTTTGGCCCCGGTTCACTGAAAGGTAGGAAGTGGGTCTTTTGGTAAACTTGCATGTCATCAGCCAAGAGGCATTTCCTTCTCCGTGTCACATCACAGGAGCTGTCAGTAACAAGGACCAGGAGGATTTAGGTAACAAAATAATCTGTTTGCCCTCAGGACTTGTATTCAATTTGCGTTGGAGAGCTGCTGAGAATGTAGAGTGTTCTTAAATATGTTGTCATTGAAATCTTGGCATAGGGAATATTTTTTTCACTTTGAACACAGTATTTTGATTTACACTTGGAAACTTAACACTTTTGTTATAAATTAAATTTGTTGGACAGGGAATGAGACCTACATTAGGCCTGCAAAAATAGATGGTTTTCTGGGAGAGTCTCTCAGTTTCTGATATGTATAGTAATTTTCCTTTTCTGATACTCTATTCTGTCTCATGATATTATTTTAGTTTGTGTTTGTTTCTTTCTTTGTCTGTACCTGTGACTCTTACAAGAAAATGTGCTAATCATAATATAAATGATCAGTGCCAGGCTTGGCAAACAAATGAACAACTTGACTAAAAATTCAATTTGGTTCTTAAGTCAGGAGCTTTAAGCAGTTTGAGATAGCTGATAGACAGTAAATACACGTACCTATGGATGTAATCTGGTAAGTTTTGACATTAATAAACCTGTGAAACCATTTCCACAATCAGAAAAGTAAACACAGTCCATGATGCCTTTAAGTTTCTTGTTTTTTTTTTTAACTCTCCCTTCCCATTCCCTGCCCCTTATCTGTAGGCAACTGGCATTCCATTTCCTTTACTACAGTTTGCCCAGTTTCCAGAATTATATGTGCATTAGTCCCCACTTAGCACAGCTCACTTTCTGTGCCTGCGTTACTCATGGTTAACTGCAGTCTGAAAATACCATTTGTGTCATCTCTTTCCAGAGAGACTATATTCATGTAACTTACCACAATATGTTTCGAAAATTATTCTACTTTATTTCTTCTTGTTAATTTCTTATTGTGTCTAATTTATAAATTAAACTTCATCATAGGTATGTAGTATATATAGCTGAAAACAAACTATGTATGACTCAGTACTATCCAGATAAGACAACTGTATCCGTCACTTGCATTGTTTTAAATTTTTAAAGCTAACATAGATTCCCCCAAAATTACCTTGTTGGCCAAAAAAAAATTGAAGTATACACTATTTTGTGAAAAATCTGTGTAAGAATTCAAATATAATGTGATTTCTTAATTGGGGAAACTTTCTATTCAGATACATAGGAACAAGAACTCTGAACACTTGACTTTTTAAGCAACGTAATTGTACTCTATTCAGTTGTTAATTTTATACCTGGGCTGGAAGTTTTTTTAAAAAATCTTTTTATTGATGATTCTGGCTTTATTCAAACAGGACGAATTAAACCTTGCTGATTCTGAAGTGGATAACCAGAAACGAGGGAAGAGGCATTATGAAGATAAGCAAAAAGAACACTTGGATACTTTAAATAAAAAGAAACGAGAACTGGACATGAAAGAAAAGGAGCTAGAGGTTATCCCCTGGTTTATCTTTTCAAGCTGTTTTTGTTTCGTTTTTATCAGTACTGGGCTTGAACCCTCAGGTCCTTGGCATTCAGCTATGCTTTTTTGTTGTTGTTGTTGTTTTTTTTGGTACCAAGGATCGAACTCAGGTCCTGGCGCTTGCGCAGGAGGCGGCGAAATCATTGAGCTAAATCCCCGGCCCCAGCTATGCTTTTTTTGAGACGGGGTCTCGCAGAGTTGCCTAGACTGGACTCTTACCCTGCTGTCTTCCTGTCTCAGCCTTCCAGAATGCAGGGATTATTGATATCCACCACCACGGCTGGCTCTTAGTCCTAGAGTGTGTTTTCCTTAATGTCACATTTGCAGATGCAGACAATTGTCTGAGTTTGTCTCCTGTAGAATAGCAAGTGTTTGAGTGAGTCTGCACCCAGGCCTCAGAACCTTCAGAGTATGAGGACTTAACGGGGAGAGACCCCAACTGTCCAGTGTCCTCTGAGTGATGGAGACAGTGCTGTTCTCTGTCTCGGCTGTCACGCTCCTCGGAGCCCAGCTTGACAAGCAGATGGCCACAGGCACCCCTTCTCTGAGTAGTTGGTTGGCAACTACACAGTGAGAGAATAAATTTGAAAGCAGTCTTGTAACTAGAAGACATGGTTTCCAGCTTTGCTTTGATCTCTTTTAAGGAAAATGATTTAAACTCTGTAATCTGTTTCTTTACCCTTGTAATGCAGAAGGTTGTGAATATAAAAGATACTGTGTTGTAAAAGTGCGACCCATTTTTTTGTTTATAAATGAAACAAAAAAAAGAAACTAAATATCTGTTTTCTAGGAGAAAATGTCACAAGCAAGACAGATCTGCCCGGAAAGGATAGAAGTAAAAAAATCTGCATCAATGCTAGATAAAGAAATTAACCGATTACGACAGAAGATACAGGCAGAACATGCTAGTCATGGAGATAGAGAAGAAATAATGAGGTAAGCGGTCAGTAGCTTTTCAGATCGTTGCATCACCCATGAGTGTCATGAAGATAGCAACAAACACCAGGTGCGGTGGCACAGGCCTGTGATCCAGCAAGCCTGAGGCGGAAGCAGGAGGTCAAAAGCTCAGTCCCAGCTTGGCCAGCTTAGCGGCCTGTCACAAGATAAATAAGAATGAAAAGGGCTGGAGATGAAGCTCAGTGCAGAGGCCTGGATTCAAGCCCCAGTGCTGCAGAAAAAAAGAGAGAGAAACAGTAATATGTGAACCTTCAATTTGGATGGAGTGTTGCTATGGCAGATAGTTACAGTGGAACTAGTTTTTAAATATGCTATTAAATATTTAAATAAATATTAAATACGTGCTATTAAAAACATTAACTTTGTCTTCTCAGTTATTAAATTATGGAATGACATTTTAATTGAAATGCTCCTTTGCCTCTATAAAATTCCTATAGGCAGGGAAATAACTTTATAAGTAACTAGGGAATGCAAATGGAAGCAATTGGCAGCCATTTTTTAAGCATACCAAATTGAATCGGATAAAAACCCCTCCCGATCCAAGGGAGTTGGAAAAATGGGTGTTTTTACGTTCCTGGGTGAGCATGAAAGCCCTGGGCTGGGGGTGTGACCCAGTGTTTTCCAGCGTGCACTAAGCCTCAGCTTCATCTCCAGGACCACACTCAGAAAGCAAAAAGGGTCATAATTAGAACACAGGGTCTACAGGAAGAGCATCTCAGCTGAAGTTGCAGTCTGGTTCCTGTGTAAGTGACTTGGACAGTGATGTAATTTCCAGATTAAATTTAATCTCCTCATGTACAAGACGAATTCTTATAATGCTTTCTGAGGCTGGGAATGGCGATGCATGTCTGTGATCCCAGCTTTCTGGGAGGCTGGGGCAGGAGGGTCACAAGCCTCAGCCCAACATGGGCAATTTAGCAACATTGTGAGACTTTGTCTCCAAGGAACAAACAAAATAAACTTCAGAGTTTCATTACATGTCAGAATATTAGTTGAAATTTAATGGATCAAGTAGTTTTGTTGCTGAGACAATTAAAATAAGAAAACGCTTTTTGGTAAGAGTTGTTTATTGCAGCATTATTTGTAACACTGGAAAGTCTCAAGTCCTGTGCAACTGTTGGAGAAGGGTCAGATGACAGTAGAAAGCTACAGCTCTTACACTGTGAAGACCTTCACAGTGGCAGCGGGGAGGAAGGGCTAGTAACAAGAATTAGAATGAGTTATGTACAAGTACCAACTTCCAATTGTGAATGTAATCATTACTGCAAACATGGGCAAAACTGAGAAAACCAGAATGATCTCAGTTGTATTTTCAAAAACATTGGAAACTAAATGGAAGAAACATCAAAATAGTAAGAGAAAGGCCTTTGAAAAAAATAGGTAACTTACATTTGAAATTTGAAAATTTATTAACATTTTGGCTAGTCACCGTACATTTATGGAATGAATACAATGTGGTGTTTCTGTTATGTATTCAGTATAGCGGGAGTAAATGAAACTGTGCAATGTAAAAAATCTGACAGTGGAAAGTTTCTGTTCCAGTTTTCATCATCCCATGACTTCTCTTTCCTCTTATTTATTAAACAGGTTTTTGGTGTGGGATGTTGTTATCCAGTCTTTGCAGATGTACAATGTAGCACACTGCATAAAATGTTTCATAAATTGTTCTCTTTGATGACATACTTCTATAGTGATGTGTAGCTGTTATTCATTGTTTTTATAACTTCACAGTACTTAACCTTCTCCTTTTAACTGAACATGTGTCATTTTATATAAACTTGGGATGTTCAAAGTAGACCAAACTTGCCATTTCTAAAAATTGTGCTTATTTTTTATTTTCATCAGCAGCATTAAATTGTCTATTTCCCCAGAGTCTAAACAATGTGTGATCAATGTATTCTTTTTTTTTTTTTGGTACTAGGGACCGAACTCAGGACCTTGCGCTTGCAAGGCAGGTGGCAGAGCCACTAAGCTAAATCCCCGGCCCTCTGTTTTTTAATAGTGTAGATTTTTTTTAACTGTGCAGAAATTTTATATAGTCAGTGTTTTTGTTTGTGTGACTAATAGCTTTTAAAACAGTTACAAAGGTGTCTTCCCCTCCTAAATTGTGAGAGGATTCACTAATCTTTTGTCCTAATTCACTGCATTTAAATTTTTTATACTCAGTTCCAAATGTATTTTCATAAATGTACTATTCATGTACTGGTAGTACAATTTTTACTTTGTGATGTGATAGATTCAGATATAGTTGTTCAAAAAGCATAATTTTAATTACTGTGACTTTATAATGTTTTCCCTATTTTCCTAATTAATATTGAGTAACCTGAGCAAAACCAACTTGTGTTTCTATGCAAAAACATTGCCATGTTCTGGTGATTACACAGATAATATTGCCATGTTCTGGTGATTACACAGATAATATGTTTCTTTTCCTGTCAGTTATTAAATATGAATAATTATAATAATAATTTCCAGTGGGTATAGTGACGCACCTGTAATTTTAGCACCTGGGGAGGCTGAGGCAGGAGGATCTCAAATTTAAGCCCAGCCTGGGCAACCTAGTGACTTAGCAAGGCCCTACCTGAAAAATCAGAAAAGGGCTAAGGGGCTTTATAACTCAGTGCAGGAGTCCTGGGTTCAGTCCCCAGTACTGCAAGGTAATAACAATGTAAAAAGCAGTTAGACTCCAAGCAAAATTTTAATCCTAGTTAATTCTCCCATCTGATATTAATAAATGTATTGATAGAAAAATTACCTAGATTAAATTGACATAAACATGCATTAAAGGCTGTAGTGTGTCTACATCAATACATATTACATAATAGGTTTAAAACTTTCTCTGCACAATTTGAGAATAACTTGCATGTATTATGGCCTTTACTGCTTAGTACATCGACATATAGTTTCTAGGAACAAACATAATCCTCTTCCATCACCACATATGTAAAATACAGGAAATTTAATGTTGGTAGATAGTTGTCAGTTCCCATTGTCTTTTTTTCCCTACTGTATGAAGTAGAGTCTAGGATCATGTATATTACATGGTGGCCATGTTGTTTTACAGAGTGCTCTGTGGGGTTCACCTGACATTTGCACATATTAGGCTCGTGCTGTGCGTTCTTGGCTGGCAAGCTACGTAGGTGGCGCTGTAGGTGTCTCCGAGGTCAGTCTCAGACGCACGTTGCATCCCTCATCCTGCGCCCTTGTCAGTCTTGACTGCTCAGCAAAGGTATTATTTGGTTTCTCCCTCATATGTTTCACTGTCTTTTCTCTAGCAACTAATAACTCTTTGGTGAAAGGATACCTTTGACTCAGCCAGTATTGCATTTTCACATTTTGAGCACTGGATTTACTATCTACTGGTAATTCTTGCCTACTGATAATTCTTTACCATGCTGGTTACAGAGATGGTGGTTTTTCTGTTTTACTGGCTTCATTCGTAAGGACATGCTTTCCTTCCTCCCATTTATTTGTTCACTCACTTGCTAGCCTGTGAGGGAGTGTGGACTTCATGGATTCTTCCTCTGTCATTGAGCTGTACTCATTTGCAGTTCTTACTCACTTTAATGTTTGAGTTTTGCTATCTTCAGCAGAGTGGAACCTCTTTAAGCTGATTCTTGTCTCTTTTTTAACATTCTTCCCCTTCCTTTTCCTTTTTTCTTTTTAGTATTTCTGTCATTTTGATAAGATACTTGGAGTTTGTTCTTCTTTTTGACACCGTGATTACATTTACCATGAGGAGTTGCTGCGTGTACACAGTGCATCTTAATTCTTTCTTTTCCACCCCTGCCCTTCCCTCCTTCCCTACTCCCTTAAACTCTCAGTCACTTTCCCATGTGCAAAGGCTCTGTTTTCACCGTTCTTTTTTCCCCAATTCTTTTGTGTTTTTCTCCCACCCTTTTCCCTCCCTCCTCCCATCTCTTGTCTCCCTGTCCATTCGTTAAGTATACATACATGTATCTATTTTATTTACTTACTTTTAGTTTCTCATATAAGAGAAACCATGCAATATTTAAGCTTATATGTCTGACTTATTTCTCTTGTTCTCAACTCAAGTTCATTCTTTATTTACCTTCTCTGATGGAGCATTGGAGTCAGTCATTGCTTCAAAAGCCTTGGTTCTTTTTATTTATTTTTTTAAAAATTTTTTTTGGTACCGGGGATCAAACTCAGGACCTTGCACTTGCCAGGCAGGTGCTGTGCCGCTGAGCTAAATCCCTGTCCCCCTGGGTTCCTTTTAATGGAGAATGGTGTCTAAAAACGAAATCTGGGTCCTGGTTCTTCCTGGGTGGCATCCCTTGTAGTACCCGGTAGTGGACACAGTTGAGAAACGTGGGTGCACGTGGCTGTGTTCAGCTCAGTGTGGTCCCCAGGCTCTTGTCCTGCCTAGTCCGTGTTTCTGTCTTCCTTCTTCTGTGGGAGGACTCTTGACTCTCGGCAGCGTGAATACTTACAGGTCACTATCCTATATATCTGTACAACATCTAGAAAATATTTGATATGTGGTTGCAAGTTTATTTTTCCTAGTATTTAGAAAACAATGTATTTTAGAGTTATTTGGACTGGGTTTTTCTTTTTCTTTTTTAGGTATGATAGTTGTCTTAAGGTATATTTTCAGTGGTTCTTATTTGGTTTTCGTTTTAGATTCTACCCATCTTGTTGACTTAATTTCATTTTGAGGGGAATATAAAAACACTTTTCCAAAAGTCAAAGCTGTAAACGAAATTATATTTAGAAGTATGTCCTACCTTACCTACTTCTTCCACCAGTTTCCCCCTCTGGCCCCTTCTAGATGACGCCAGATCCTTTTTGTTTCTGTTTTTGTCACTTTTTTAGAATTTCCTTGTTGGAATACAGGTCTTGATTCTTCAGCTTTCTCTCAGAAAATACAGCCACCTGCCTTGCTTTCATCACTTGACAGCATGGCTGGAAAAGCACTGCAGACCGTTCGTTGAGGTCGCGCTTATCCTCTGAACAGCCGATGGTGCGGTGCCGTGGCAGACAGTGCTGCGAGGGCTCACTCTGCGTGCGCGCGACCCTTGTTGGATGTCTGTCTTCACGGTGCGCTTCCAGAGCTGACCCGACCAAACTGGAGCCTGGACTGTGGGGTTGTGTTTTGGTACATTTTGCTGAGCTCCCCACAGCTGGTGTCACAGCGTGCTTCTCGACAGCCTTGCTGAGTGTATGCTCAGTAGAGTTGCATAATTGTTGGCCAGTCCGATGGCTGAGAAACTGTGTATTTATGTAGTTTAATATTGTTTATAGTTTATTCTATCATTGTGACTAAGACCGAAAGCTTTTTCAAATATTTCAAAGTCTTGAAGCATCTGTTCATATCTTTGACATTTTTCATCTATTCCCTTAAATTTTAAGTTTTTAGACACACATATAGAATATATTAAACACGCTCATCTTAATTCATTATTCCTTTTGAAAATTTTCGTAACCTTTTTGGTATGTAGGAGTCATTTAGTCCGGTTGACTGTGCCGTTGCCTGTGGCTCTGCGTCTCATTTCAGGAGCCTTCCTCCGTGTCTGCGGTCGGGCAGATCCTGCCATGCTGTGGCTTGGCTGCTTCCGCGTGTTGGTGCTGTCCTGCCCGTGTGTGAGGGTGGGCCTTACCCCTTCCCAAATGGCCACACAGCCCCTGGAGAAAGCGTTTGTCCTGTCTTCTTAAGAGTGGCTCATGTGTTTTCTGTGTTGCAGATTCATAACTGCTTTTCCTAGGTTTCACATTTGAAAGGGTGATTGAGCCTAAATCAGAATTTCTGGTTCAGACCTGTTCTCTGCAGCACCTTGCTCACGAGGGCCCTTGTCGAAAATGGCAGATTCTGCACTTTTTACCTTTGGTACACATTGTGCTTTTTCAATATGTGGATTTGTTTTTTAGTTCTTAAAAGTTGTCTTGTATTTTCTAAATATTTTCTATTTTGTTTTCTTTCTTTCTTTTTTGGTACCAGGGATCGAACTCAGGACCTTGCACATGGGAGGCAGGCATGGTGCCACTGAGCAAAATCCCTGGCCCTGTGTTTTTCTTTTTTGAGGCCTTCATGATACACATTTTAGGTATTTTTATCTACTCTCTCATTTTGTCAAACTGTTTTATCTCTTTTTTTCCACTTTGTTTGCCTTTCTCATTTCCATTACTTCCCTTAATATGTTTTTCATGTTTCTGTTCGCCTCTGCACAGCTTCCTATTTTGTGCTCATATGTGTGAGTTCTTTTTCTTTTGCGGTCCAACCTTCCACATTTCCCAGGTTAGGTTCTCTGATTCTTGCTCCACCTCCACCTCCTGTTACCACTTTCTGTTGTTTTATCTGTTCTTTGAGGTATTTTGTTTCTGCTTTGAAATATTTCTTTTGAAATACTTCTGCTTTCTCGTAGCACTTATGTTTTCTTTTTAAAAATTGATAGTGTTGCTGGGGATTTAGCTCAGTGGTGCCGCTGCCTGCCTCAAAGATGCAAGGACCTGAGTTCGATTCCTGGTACTAAAAAAGAAGAAAAAAAATTGATAGTGTTGAATTATAATTTTTATCTACTTTGTGGCAGTATTAATCTGTCTTCTTCGTGTACAGGATAGTTTTGCTGTACTTGTTCCCATACATATCTTCATGCGGTTGCTTGTGTCTCTTTATTACCCGTTTTTAACTGTTCGCATCTTCCTGGACTGCTTATTTGAGGCAGATGGGAGCAGTGGCTGAGAGCCTGGCCGGGCCGCTGTTGGTGCTCAGAATCTGCACGCTGTCAGTCTGTGGCCTTCTGTGAGGGTGCGCGCGTCTCTGGCTGTGCCCTCTCAGCCTCTCTGACTCAGCCTTCTTCAAATGCCAGCTCTCCTCTCCTCTTCTGCTGCTCTCTCTCCCTTCTTTCACGAGGAGCCGTCTTCCACTGTGGCCCTTCTGTGGTAGGCCGCTCTCTGCCAATACTGCCTAAGGGCTGAGACCTCCGGGCCCTTCCCCAGGCCCCGCCCGGGCACTGGCTCACAGACCTGCTGTCCCCTTCGGGGCTGGGACTTTGTCTCCCCACTGTGGCAGTCTCATTGGTAGCACTCGCTCGCTCCAGGAGTGTGTTTCGACGGAAAATTTATGATGTCAGCCACTGTTAGGCTCCTCAGCAGTCACTGCCCTCCCTGTATTTGTTTTTTGTTTTGTTTGTGCAACATTTATTTACATAATATTTTTTCCATAAAATAGGCAGTACCAGGAAGCAAGAGAAACTTATCTTGACCTGGATAATAAAGTAAGGACTTTAAAAAGGTTTATTAAATTACTAGAAGAAATAATGACCCACAGATATAAAACATATCAACAATTTAGAAGGTAAGTACATTAAAAATATTGCTAAATATTATGCATTTTTGTTTTCGTTGTCACATTATCCTTTATAGATAATGAAATTAAGTCATAAGACCTTCACGTTTCAGTCATAACAGCCACTGTAGATGTTTGCTTCATCATTTAGTATTTAGGGTTCTGTAGTTTAATCAAAGAGTTCTGATTTGAAGAACCTTTATAGCAAGCTTATCTACCCTTTCCATTCTGTTAGAGATCTTTTACAAGGTAACTTGTAGTGAGCCATTCATTCTTTAACTGCATCTTCAATGAGAACTCACTGGTTCTTAAGCAGCTTTCCACTGCACATTGTTTACGGATGCAGCAGTCAGAGAGATCTGTTCAGGTACTATTTCAGTTAACTTACTACCATCTCCTAGAATGGCATTGCTACATGAACACAAAAACTTTTATTTACTGCTGTATCTCCAGCATGCCTGCAGTATGGTAGGCTCTTTATGCACATGGGCTGGATAAATGAGCACAGGATCAGGAAGGCTGGAATTCATTACCTACTTTGAGATGCACAGACTTTCAGAGATGGAGCAACCCCAAATTAGTGTCATAAGAAATAGAAGTAAACCTGAGGGCAATTGATAGGGAGGGAGAGCTCTCAATATGCTTAAATCCAAGGCAGGCTTAGTCTTTCCACCTGCTTGTTTGCCACAGTGGCATTCTGTTCCTCATGTGCTTTTTAGTATCTTAAATATCTTTGTACCCACAATTCTACAATCTTAAGACCATAGGAATAAAAATATACCTAACTATAGTGCACATGGTGAAATTTTGGTAGAGGCAAGAAGTGAAGTATGTTTGACCATACTCCTTAACTAAATTATATGTTTTGAAATGCATGTTATAGTTTTTAAAATATATTTTTAATTTTTATTGACTACGTGGTAGTTGTACATTTTTGTGAGATACAGTGTGACATTTCGGTATATGCATACAATGCGTAACAGGTCAGGGTAGTTGGTGTGTCCATAACTCCAGACCTTTATTATTTCTTTGTGTTGGGAGCATTCTGAATTGTTTTTAATTTTATAGGTATATTATTAGAACCTGAGTGGGATTCATTTCTGTCCCTTAGAGGCTGTTTATAAGCTCTGTTAGGTGGGACTGAAGCAGGATGTAATCATGGTTAATTTTATCCTAGCTCTGAGGCTGCACTCTGAGAACTCTGCCAATACCTGAGAATTGTGGCCTTTTCCTCCTGGCCATGGTGGCCTGAGCTGTCTCGGCTCATTGTGAGCTCGTGGGGTGCCTGTGCCCTCTCTCGGGTGTCTCTTTCCCCAGGGTTAGTAGTGTTTTCACACATGCACTGGCCAGTGCTTGGCTCAAAGTGAGCTCAGAACCCTGGCCGACCCTCTGGAGTTCTCCCTGTGTCCATTCTCTGCTCCCCAGACACGGCAGGCCCACTGAGGTGTGCACTCCCCTACTCTTCTGACGTGACATGGGGCATTCACAAGGCTCAGCTCACTCACGTCGCGGAGATGGACTTGCTGGAGCTGCCTGTGCAGATTTCTAGAGTCTGAAAACTTGTTTCATGTGTTTTGCCTGGTTTTTAATTTTAAGTGGAAAAAGAAACTAATCCCTATTACTACATACATTTTTTCAGACTTAGTAGTTGTTGTATCATTATCTAGAAATAGGCATGATTTACTACATTGATACAGTGCACCACCACTGACATGCTTTATATTGTTCACCCAGTCTTAGGAGGAGAATAAAGTGTCCAAGCCATTAAAATCATTTCCCCTCTTTACTGTGGAGAACTTTGCCGTTTCATGACAATAGACTGTTAGCATCCTCCGAATTGGAAGCAGGTGAAGAATATAATAAGGTCCCATTTTAGGGGTGCCTTCGCTCCCCCGAGTGTGTACTTCTTACTGCTTGATAAGGCTGTTTATGTAGGAAAAGATACATACTAGTACTGAAAGAAAGAATAGTGAGTAAGGAGTGGAATGGTTATCATGGCAGCAAAAGAAAACTCATCAGCATTTTCTAGTGTGGGGAGTTAATGAAATTTAGGGAGAAAAATAGGAGAGAAAATAATACAATTGTAGTTATTTTGAAGATAGGAGCCATACACACATTAAGGAATAATGACTTTAAGTAGCCGGCTTCCTGTCGCTCACACCTTATTTTCTCAATACCATTCCCCACCAGAAGGAGCCAGGGCTCCCTGGAGAAGTGGCTGAGTTTAGACATGGTAGACAAGGTACAGGAGGGAAAGGAAGGAAGTGCTGAAAAAGAAAGAGGGGAAAGGAGAAAGAAGAAGGGAGAGAGGAAAAACACGGTGGATGAGCTTGAGGGGATGTTCACTGGCAAAATGTGGGGTGATTATAGGAGTGAAAATATGTGTGTGTGTGTGCGCGCGCGCATATGTATAATCAAAGTGGGCCCAGTGGGTAAAATAAGAATCTCGGACTCTACCCTGATAAAGAGAAAGGCAGGCAAGTATATAAAGAAGAGGAGAAGCTCTTCCTTCTAGTAAACGTATCTAATACGTAGAGAAGGGACGGTGGCACTCACCTGTGCCCGGCAGTGTACAGTAAAGGCATTATCCGTAGATGATGAGGCAGACATTGTCGTTAACCTCTTCACTATAGTTGAAGTTGAGGGGAAACAGGCAAATGAGGGGACAGCTTGTCATCTGAATCGCTTTCGAACTTAATCCTTTTAAGGACAAGATTTATGTCTTATGTGTTAGGGTAATAATGCTTTATATAAATTAATTGAGTGATTCATACATTCATATAGACTGACTTGTATATGGAGTACATGTGTGATGACTTCTTTATTTTATAGATGTTTACCATAGAAGTGAAAGGGCTGGTTAAATGTGGGGTGCAAATATAAAACGTGGGGTAAAGTAGTCACTTACACTCACCTGTTAAGTGGACAACCAGGGTTCACATTTTGACACTGGCTGTGCTTAGGTCATGCTGAACGTACATTTCTGTTTCTATTTTTAATGTCCCCAATTTATTTCAAGGTGTTTGACTTTACGATGCAAATTGTACTTTGACAACTTACTGTCACAACGGGCCTATTGTGGAAAAATGAACTTTGACCATAAGAATGAAACTCTTGCTATATCAGTAAGTATGTTAGCTCTTTGCACCGTGTAATCATTTATACAATCAGTCATTCACTTTCTGTTTGATGAAACCTTGATAGCTTTACCCTGTGTCTTTGGGAAACAAGGATTTATTTTTAAGTTAATGATAGTCTTTGCTAATGTGTGGAAAATTAAGTTTATCATGCTGAATTCTTACTGCTATCTTAGCTTCCACCCCCACTGCAAACAGTAATTAGGAATTTTATTTTCAGTGGCAAGTGATTACCTTGTGCCTCTGTTCCACTGGCTTCTTTTTAAAACCGCACATGGGTGGTAGTTTGAATTCCAGGAGACACGATGGAGGGCTTATAGTCTTCACATGGCAGGGGCCCTAGAAGGTTCTGCATGCATAGTTGTCTTTCCACTCTTTGCTTCTGCAGTTGTCATGAGCTCCAGCCTCTTTAATAACAAGGCTGCCACATTTAGCCTTGCGGTTCTGTCCTGTGGATCACTGTCCACAGGGCCAGGAGGAACTAAGCTGTTCTCATCTTTCTTTGGAGCAGTTTTGCTTTTCCAACCCACAGCATCTGGGCAAAGGAAGGGAAGGGAGAGTCTTCTTCCAGACTTCCATCACAGAATGAGGGGCTGCCCTGACTGGCAAGGGGTGACAGAGGGGTCACCAGAAAGTGCATGAGAACCTGGACTTCTGCTAAGAGGAGAAAGGGAGAGTGCTCCATGACCCTCAGTGCTGGTAGGACCCAAAGCAGAATCAGAAGAGCAGGTCTATGAGTTGAAGGCAGGAAACTGCTGTAGATTCTCCAGGGGAATGTGGACCTCCAGATACTTGCCCTCTTTCTTGTTCTCCTCCATCTCAATCCTACGTTCTCGGCGAGGTTCCTCCCAAGCCTTCTGGCACTGACGCTTCCTTTTCTCAACATCATCTGAGAACATCTCTAGGGTTTCCTTAGAGACCACAGGAGCCTGCAGAGCCAATTCACAGATGCTGAACTCACAGGTGAGCAGCAAGTGAGAGAGAGATACCTATGATGCTGTCGAATACCCTCAGACATGGAGTACCCGGTGATTTCCACCACAGTTGCTGAGATCTCCAGGCTCTGCTGCAGGCTGCCATACTCTGGCACAAGGCAGAGCACATTGATGGGGTGCAGGGACATGTGCTGCCCACCCTCCGCTTGGGAAAAGTAATAACAAGGTGAGCTGCTCAGGTGTGTGAAGCCGGGCTTAGTGACAGGTTCCTCCTGGCTGGACTCAATACAAACGGTCCCCTCCCCAAGATTGTCATCTACTAACTCCGAGTCAGTACTGGGCTAGACATTCTCGCCAGTGGAAAGAGTCGAGAAGAAGATCTAAAAGGCATGCACTGGACAGGAAGAAGCCAGATTCTCATTATTCACAAATAACACGGTCATCTATGCCAGAAACTTGGGGAATCTTCAAAAAGAGATACTAGAGCTAGTAAGTGCAGCTGGCAAGGTTGCAGATAGAAGTGACATGCAAAACAATGAACTGCCCTTCTGTATACGAGCAACAAGTCAGAAACTAAAAATTTAAAAGTACCATTTATAATAACATCAGAAATATTAAACAGAAAAAGCTGACCAGTGTTGTGCAAGACCAATAAACTGAAAACCAAAATGAATACTGAGAAGTAAAGATGACGTAAGTGCACAGAAAGATAGTTAGTATTAATGAATCAAAAACATCCGGTATTTTATTAAGGTTCCATTTTTCTGCAGTTGATTTGTAGATTCAACACAATTTTCATTAAAATACCAGCAGGCTTTTTTGTAGAAATTGACAAGCTGATTCTAAAATTTATGTGGAAATACAAAGGACCTAAAAATAGCCAGCACAGCTTTGAAATGGAAGAACAAAATTGGGGGACTAACATTAACTGATTGGAAGAGTTTCTTCAAAGCTACAATAATAATGATGGGATATTGGTTTGACGACATCCAGATGGATGAATGGAACAGTATACTGGTTACAAAGGAGCATAAGGAAACTTTTGGAATGATTAATATATTCTCCATCTTGAATTGTTTCATAGAATACACATTTGCTCAAACTTAAGTTGTACATTTAAATGTATGCAATTTGTTTTATTCATTTGATCCTTCAGAGCTGTTAAAGTTACCAGCAGAAGCAAGGGAATGTGACAGGTAATAGAAAAAGGAAAAAGAACCATACTCAAAGATGATAGTTACAAGAGATCAGACTACTATCTTAACCATGGCTAACATGTTAAAGATGATAGAATTAGCCATTAAAAAAAAAAGGAATGAAAAAGATGCAGAGTTTCAACAAGAACAATCAGTGGGTGGGTATTCCATAACTGAAAATTTCAGTACCTAAAATTAGAAACTCAATGGATGGTTAATAGCCAACTGAACATAAAACAAAAGATGCATTTAGCAGAACTCAGAGCAGGTCAAAAGGAAATATCTAAAATAAACAGCATAGAAACTGATGACAAAACACTGAACAGAGCCAATGACCAGGGCTGGGATTTAGCTCAGTGGCACTGCACTTGCCTGCCAAGTGCAAGGTCTAATCCCCGGTACCAAAAAAAAAAGTTGTACAAAGAATATTTGAAGAAGTAACAGTTGAGAATTTTTCAAACTGAAAAACAGCAGCCTAGGTTTCTCAGAAAACCTCAAATGAGATTACACACAACACCTAAGCACAAGGTAGTGAAGTAGCTGAAAACCAGAAGTAGAGATATTAAAAGTAGCAAAGGAGGAAATAAACACTACTTTCCACAGAGCAAAAATAAAACAAGGCAGATTTTAAAACAAATTGTGGGGGGTAAAAGCCTCTTGAAAGACTTTAAAATGCTACAGGATTTTTAAAACTTGCCATCTAGAATTCCAGAATAAGCAGAATTATTTTTGAAAAAATGAGGGTGAAACATCTTGGTTAATTTTCAAACAAAAGTTGAAAAAATTCTTTAGTACAATCAGTCCACAAGTAGTATTCAAAAAATGTGGATGAAAGAAAAATGATCCTGGATAAAAACATGAAACTACTGAAAGAACAGAGACCACTGCAAAAGGTAAATATGTGGGAAATGTAAGATAGCTTTTGCTGTATAAAACAATACTGTGCTAGTGTATTGTGGGGTGCATATGATGTAAAAGTAAAATACATGAATGGCACAACAAAGGGATAAGAGCATAGGGAACCAGACTGTTGTAAGGTTCTTGCGCATTTCGGAAAACAATACCAATACTAATTGAAGATAAACTAATTCATGAGATATGTATTGCAAGCCTCTGAAGCAACCATTGGAATAATTTTAAAAGGTAAAATAGAGACCAAATAAAAGAAATGGAAAAGAAAAACAATCCAAAGAAGGCCAAAAAACAAGGGTGACAAAAAATAAACTAATGGGATGAGCAAAATAAATACTGAGATAAATGGCTTAAATCTAAATTTGCAAGTAATCAAGTGTGTATGGAATATACAATTGAGTTAAAAGTAAAGATTGTCAGTCTAAATTGAATATAAGAGCGAACTTTGTTACCAAGAAAAAAAGATACTAATATAAGGACAGTAAAATAAAAGTAAAATTAAGAAAAAGGTGTGTCATGCAAACAGCCAAAAGAAAGCTGTTGTAGTAGTCAGCTTTCCCTTGGCTGGAACACAAAACTCAAAACCTACAACTTAAATGAGAGATTTAAGTAAGCTCATGTTCTCAGGGGATTCAGTCCGTGGTTGGCTGGCTCCAAGGCAGGAACATCATGATGGAAGGGCCTGGCATAACAAAACTACTTAGTCCCTGGTAGCTGGAAGCAGAGCAGGAAAGCAGTACCAGAGAGGAAAGAGCCACAGACCATACATAGATAGTACCCAAGGCCATACCTCTGTGACCCACCCAGACACACCCAGAAGTGTGCTCCCAGATTAGTAACAAAATAAGGTTTACACAAGCAGGGCACTACTAGAGACCAAAAGTGTTACTATTTCATAGTGACAAGTTATTTCAAAAAATATCTTAATCTGCATGTACCTAATAAGATAGCTTCAAAATTCTTAAAGGTTGAGAGAATTAAAAGGCAGAGTAGAAGAACTGACAAATATGATTGGAAACTTTAACTTTTCTTAGTAGTTGATGGGACAATGAGATTAAATATATATATATTAGTGGCAAAGGAAGGCCGAACCTTCATGATCTAAGTTTTATCTTTGAAAACTATAAAACAGAAGCTATTAATAAATTGCAGTAGAAAGATGGGTACAATGAAGATATAATAGAAGTTGGAACTGGAAAGCAAATATACAGTAGCAATGAAATAGCCAAAGGCTGACCATACAACAAATATGGTTACCTAAAGACTGAGTCCTCTACAGCCTATAGGAAGGGGCGATTATCTCATAATCAGTATTGGGTTCAGATTGTTGGGTGTCCTTTTCTCCCAGTAAATAGCAACCCTTGATCCTATTCCTCATATTCAATATAGTGATTAAACATTTGTCGTAGATCTACATGTAAAAACGTCAAACATCTTCTTTCTCCACATTCTCACCAGTCTTTGTTATCTTGATAAAAGCCCTGCAGATTGGGATGAGTGATACCTCATTGTGGGTTTTTGTTTTGGGGGCCGGGACGGAGCTCAGGACCTTGTGCTTGTGGGGCAGGGGCTGGCACCACTGAGCTAAATCCCCAGCTGGAATTTCTATTAGGTTTTTGAGGAATCTCCATACTGATTTCCATAATGGTCTTATCATTTTACTCTCCTACCAACAATGAAGAAGGGTTTCTCCCCACAGCCTTGCCAGCATTTGTAATTGGTCACTTTCTTGATGGTAGCCATTTTTTCTGGGATGAATATGAAGTTTCCTCAAAATAAAAATAGAATTATATGGGATCTGCCAGTCCCACTTGTGAGTATATATCCAAAGGAAATGAAAGTAACATATGAAAGAGACCTGCGTTTCCAGGTTTACTGAGATACTAGTCACAATATCCAAGTCAGGAAATCCGTCTGGGGTGCCCATCAAGGATATATAAAGAAATGTGTTATGTAGCTATAGATACAGGCACAGTGTGATATTTTATTCAGTCATAAAAAATACGAAATTTTGTCACTTGCAGCAAAAACTGATGAAACCGGAGGACCTTATATTAAGTGAAATAAGCCAAACAGAGAAATAGAAATACAGTGCCATGTTCTCTCTCAAGTGGAAGTTCACAAAAGTTGGTCTGAATATAAAATTGTGATCAGTGCAGGTTGGGAAGTGAGGGGAGAAGAATTAGGAGCTTTGATAAAGGGACCACAGCAGTGACTATAGTTGACAGTAATCTATATGTTGTGAAGATCTAGAAGTGAAGAGCTCCAAAGACCCCAAACATAAAAGATAAGGACTCAGAAATACTGATTGCTCTGACTTGATCAGTACATGCTATCTCTGGGTTGAAATATGCTGTACTTCCTAAATACGTGCACTTATGTGTTAATTAAAATGAAGCTCTTTATGCTTTTTACGCAAATTTGTGAAGACTCAGCAGTAATCAAGATTGATAATTTGGACTTTATAAACTAAAAAATAGTTCTCTCCATCAAAGTAGGTTTAAGCTGGGCATGGTAGCACACAGCTGTAATCCCAGCACTCTACCAGGCTGAGGCGGGGAAATTGCAAGTTCTGACCCATCCTGGCCAACTGAGCAACTTAACAAGACCCTGCCTCAAAATTGGAAAGCACAAAGAAAAGGGCTGGGTAGTTCAGTGCAAAGGCTGTGGTTCAATGCCCAGTGCAGGGTGGGAGTGGGGGGTAGCATTGAAAGAGTGATAAGGGAAGATAGAGCCTAGGAAAAGGTCCTGGAATATATGTGTACATCAAAGGACTCATACCTGGGACTATTAGATTAACTGGAAGAAAAAGATTGACAGCACATTTTTAATTGTCAGAAGGCCTAAACCAGGAGTCTCGTTAAGTTATCCAAATGCTGAAGAAAACCAGATGGAATAGGGCTCATAATTGTTAGTCATCAGAGAAGAGCACACCTGTATCCTTCAGTAAGTTACCAACACACTCCTCCTGTTAGGTCACTAGAATGAGCGAGACTGGAAGTGCTGTGCTGATAAAGGTGTCGAGTCAGAAGTGGTGCGGGAGTACGACTGCATAGAACTAATTTGAAAACCTGTCCACGTTTGTCAACGCGATTCTGCTCTTGAGCAGAAACCCAAAGAAAGTGATTGCTTATGTCCTCAAAAAGATACTTTATTTCCTCAGGGCATTATGTTGTCAAAGAGAAACAAGTGTATATTTTAAATTAGAATTTTTAAAACTCTTAGAATGTTCAAAATGAATATTTATTTGAGGACAAAGTAATTTTTAAGTAGTAAGTTGGAAAATATTGGTAGCTGTATGTCTTGTTCATAGAAAACTGGTTAGTACTGTTCTTTTCGCCTAGAATTGTGTCGAAATAAAATTCTTCCGTAGGTTACTTTGTATTTCAGAATGTATACAAAAGAGATTGTTTTTAATTAGTGACGTAGTAAAGAGGGATTTTAAAATGCATTCCAGCCCATTTCTGCTCTTATTCTTTGGCCAGCATAGCTGTCATCAAGGTGGTCCTGTCCGCCCTCGTCCCTGTCCCCTGTCCCCCGCACTGGGCATTGAACCCAGGGCGTTTCCCTGAGCCATGACTGCAGCCTTTTCTTTTTTTCCTGAGACAGGGTATTGCTGAGTTGCCCAGGCTGGGCATCGACTTGAGACCCTCCTGCCTTAGCCTCCCAAAGTGCTGTGCCACTGTGCCTGGCTCAGTACATATATTTCTTTTTTTTGGTACCGGGCATCGAACTCAGGACATTGAGGTTGTGAGGCAGTCACGGTCCCGCTGAGCTAAATCCCTGGCCCCAGACATTCCTCATTTAATGAACAAGTTACATTTAACCTGTGATTAGGTCACTAAATGAATTGATCGATAAATGAGGAATTTTACATAGTATGTACATTGCAATATTGGGAACAAAGAGATGTTCAAAGGAAACTTCAGCATGACTGCTTTTATTTGTATAACTTACGTGCAGTACTGTAATTTATAACAACATAAAACTACAGCACTGTACTGTACAGTACAATCCGCAAAAATCACAGTACAGTGTAAACAATGTACTGTACAAAAAAAGACGTTGAGGCTTTAGAAGTAAGATGTACCGAAGTGTCAGAAACAAGACTGGTTCTAAGTTTGAATAGTTGTTAAAACAGCTTGTAAAGGAGTACATGTAATTACTTTTAAAGCTGTATAACCGCTAGATGTCACTATAATTCAAGTAAGGAAAAATTGTCTTAATACAGTACTTTTAATGTTTGAGACAGTAGGCAGCTTCAGGAGAACTAATTTAAATTCTTAATTTTGATAAATAATGGTTGGTTTACATTAGTACTTTATTTTTAAGCCTTTGGAATTTTGGATATTAGATTCCTTTGCAGTAAGAAAAGTGTCCAATTTGATTCTCTTGAAGTAAAACAAAATCTTCACCATTATGTAGCTCACTCTTACTGTAAAGTATTTCAGTTGGAATACTTTCACACCACTAATTTTGTTTTCACCCTCCTTTGTTTTTTTCTGTAGCCCCATTCCTTCTGATCCTCTAAACCCACACTTTCCTGTGTTACACAGAATTTCATCTGAAATCTATACATTTTCTCCCCTTATTACCTCATTCTCTTCAAGGTTCAGCCTGGAGAGGGAAACAAAGCTGCCTTCAATGACATGCGAGCGTTGTCTGGCGGCGAACGCTCTTTCTCCACAGTGTGCTTCATCCTTTCCCTGTGGTCCATTGCCGAATCACCTTTCAGATGCCTGGATGAGTTTGATGTCTACATGGTACTGTTAAATTTTAAATGCTCAAATTGTTTTCTGTTTGAAGTGTATTTTGGAAGGAAGCAAAACTTTCTTCAGTTCTATCTGTAACAGGAAAGATCCTGCCCTGATACTTTACCTGTGGGGTGAGTGGCAGAGGAAGAGCCCAGAGTTCTAGTTCTCCCCTGACTGCCATGCGGTGCCATCACAGACCCACGTGCTGGGCTGGAGCATGGGTGTCCTGGCTGTCCACCCGACAGGCTGTCTCCCCCGGCCTCTTCCCTGGCTTGCTCCCCTCAATCCAGAAACATCCTCAGGCTCTCGCACTGTAACAGACTTGCAGCCAGCTCACCACACTTACTTACACCCAATCCAGTTGCCTTTGCCCTCCCTGCCTTCAGCAGCTATGCTTCCAGGAGCATTGCAAGCATTTGAGTCTGCGGTTAAGTGGAGGCTTTGAGACCTGCCTCTGCCACAGATTAGACAAGTACAAATCTTTTTGGGTCTCAGCTTCTTCACGTAAAAACCAAGACTGTCCACGTTCCCTTCCTCGGATCTTAAGCACAGCTCAAGGGAGGCCCTGCATGTGATACCCTTGCGTGGTGCAGCCACGTACTGCGTCTCCATAAACAGCAGTTACCCTTCTCATTGCTTCGTATCTCATTCAGCTCTCTCAAAAGTTGTTTAATAAAGGTCATGAGTGATCTGTCATTTAATTTATTGTTAGAGTCCTTGGCACTACAGACCTAGTCTTCATCTCTTAGCCCGTGTCATCTTAGTGGTTTCCACACTCCGCTTCCTGGCTTTACTCTGCTCACTCCTGTCAAGCTGTCTGGCTGGCGCCCCTAACTCATTGCCTTTCAGTGTCTGACACACTTGTTGCTTTTCCTGGACACTGCACCATCACCCTTCTGTTCCCTGTGCACACACCACACACAGTCCCAAGGCTCCTTCCTGCGGAGGGACGCCTACCAGGTCGAGGCCCAGCGTCCCGACAGGCTCTGGTAGATGCTCCCGAATACAGGCCAGCACCTCAAACTCAGGCTGCATGTGTCTCCCTCGAGGCCCCTTTTCCCTTCATTTCCCTACCTTGATGAGCAGCAGACTCATTACAGCCAAATCACCTAGCGTCAGAGCATGTGGTTTACCTGCGCCTTCTCCTCCTTTTGCTTGGACGCTGAGCATGAGCTCCATCTGCTCCTCCCCTGGGTCTCCCCAACCTCCCCTCTCCCCTCTCGCTGCTCCTCTGTTGCTTCCCACCCTGCCGCACACTTCCTGCGTGCTGATGCTGTCTTGCCCACCTGCAAGCTCAGTCTCCCATCCTGCTCTTCTGCACTCTGGCCTCCACGGTTTGGCAGGCTTATATTCCTACAGTAGATCGGGTTGGTGGCTAGTTACTGTATACAGGATGAATGTTAATTCCTTTTTGGGAAATCAGGCCTTTTGTGATGTATCTCACTTCCAACCTTATTAAGCAGTTTGTCACTTTGCAAACGTGGCGCCTCTGCCCAGTGTGTGCTGTCTTTTGACGTGCATTAGACAGCTTACCTTTGAACACTCAGTTATTTTCCCATCATAGTTTTTGATATCATTTTCCTACATAGGAATTTCTTGACATCATAAGTAAAATAAAGGGTGAAAATCCAGGGTTTGTTTTGTATCAGACAGCTGAATGCAACTTCTACCGAACTGTGATTGACATAATAGTGGTGCTAACTCCTGCCTCTGTTCTTCAGGATATGGTTAATAGGAGGATTGCCATGGACATGATACTTAAGATGGCAGATTCTCAGCGTTTTAGACAGTTTATCTTGCTTACCCCACAAAGTATGAGGTAACTTCTTAAAACTTTCTGTGAATACATATGAAGTATATAAGAGGGGGAATAAATCCATTATAGCTTTAGCTTTTAAATACAAGTACATAAATGACCAATGGAAAAAAAATAACCTCTTTACTACTCCAGGACATTTAGATCTCCTTTTCTAGATATTTAAAGTTTTGCTTGTGTTATCTCCCTGTGTAACTTAGTCAAGTTGGCTGGTATATTACTGACTTGTTAGTATTTCTATCTTGAATTTGCTGCTTTGTGGTTGTCATAACTGACAAATATAAAATGACTGGTGATTCTGTGTAGGACAAAGAAGCAATGCAAGATTTTTCCAGTCTTGACTCTTGGTGACTTACAAATCAGTCTTTTTAAGTAAAGAGCTCCACTCTGTTATCAGCGCTTGCTGAGTACCTATGTGTGTCAGGCACTGGTACTTAGAGTTGATGCTCTGTCTGTGAAGTGGTCTGGTGGTCTTATGGGGATTTCAGTTTGTGATTAGGAGTATTCAGGTAACTCCTTCCTGGCTAGACAAGAGCAGGAGTTAAAAATAATTGACACATAAGCCAGGTGTGGTGGTGCACGCCTGTAATCCCAGTACTCAGGAGGCTGAGGCAGGAGGATGGCTGTGAGTTCAAAGCCAGCCTGGACTACATAGTGATACCCTGTCTCAAAATAAAACAAAAAATTGGCATAAATCTCCTTTATTTTATTTTTCCTCCAAACTGAAAATGCATGGGTTTTAGCAAGTAGTTAATGTTTAAGGGCCAGGGATTTAGCTCAGTGGTTCCACTGCCTGCCTCACCAAGCGCAAGGTCCTGAGTTAGATTCCCGGTACCAAAAAAAAAAGTTAATGTTTAAAATGAAAATAAAATATTTCCTTTTTGCAAATTATATTTCTTCTCGAACTCTTGATGTATCCCACTTTTAGCAAACAACAAGCCATTTGGACTTGTATTTTAATGAGGTGATGTTACTATTTCTTTGGTTTTGATCTTCAGTGCCGGGTATTATACCCAGGCCTTGCAAATGCTAAGCATGTGCTGTACACTGAGCTACTCCCAAAGCCTGTAGGATTATTTTTAATGGGTAAAACTTCCTTGGAAATTTTAGTAATTAATTTTGCTTTTTCTAGTTCACTTCCTTCCAGTAAATTGATTAGAATTCTTCGGATGTCTGATCCTGAAAGAGGACAAACTACGTTGCCTTTCCGACCTGTGACTTGGGAAGATGAGGATGAGCGGAGCTGAGCTGTGACACGTAGCATGGCTTGTCCTCGTGGGGACTGTAAGGACAAGAATGCTGAGCTGTTCAGGAGACAGAATGAGACTGGGCTGCTCTCAAGAAAAGGACCCATTGCCTCAGGCCACAGTAAAATGTGTCAGTAAGCCCAAAAGCCAGGTACAGCCAGGAGGTTACAGCTACTGTTCCTTTCCTTTGAGAAAAGTCAATTTCACAGTGCTGGTTTTTAAGTCTGTTTGGTTTTGAGGATTTTGGTTTTTCGTTTTACCGTCCACTTTTATGGACTCTTAGAAGTAGCATTTCGTACACGTGTATGTGTACATATCTGCATAGTTTGGGTTCGTTTCTGTAGTATTTTGTAAGAAAATAAAAGTTTGAGTACCGGTTTATATTTAGTATTGCTTTTCCAGAACATTACATTCTGTAGCTAAACAATCAAAAGCAGAAGGGAGGGATTTCTCGTTACATAGGATGGGGTACAAAGGTGGTTTTGGACAAAAACTAGTTTACAGTGGACTTAGTGTCTGGTTTTCATCCATTAATTAGGAGGGACTTACATAGCACTATAAGTACACTGTGTAGTTCCTGCCTATAGGTAAAATTTTTTTTTTTTTGTACCGGGAATCGAGCTCAGGACCTTGCACTTGCGCGGCAGGTGCCAGAACCACTGAGCTAAATCCCCGGCCCTCTGTAGGTAATTTTTAACCCTGGGGCACAACTGTAGATCTGGGCTATAACTTTTAATTGTTGTATTTCATCAAATTTAAGATGCTCTCTATTTATGAGACACTCTTTTGAAGTCCTGAGGCCGTTACTCTGACACAGTGCGTTCTCAGTCCTTTACTGTCCTCTGTCCAAGTGAGAGCCTGAAACTGGACACAGGACCAAACCATGACATAGCTTGTCCACCCTGACCTGTGGCACTCTGGGCGGGTTGAAAAGCCCTTTGTTTGGAGTCCAGGGCTCTCAGGTCCTGGGCTCTGGTGAGAGCATGCAGGCCAGAGGGACCATGCTAAGCAGGCAGGGAAGGCTGGGAGGAGAGCAGCAAGTAGCTGGTTGTGTGAGCCAGAGGCCACCCTGGATGGCGGGCAGGCTCATGAGATCAGAGAGATCAGCTACTGGAGACGCATCCTGACTTTAGAGATGCTGAGAGGTGTGCTGCTTAGAATGACCAGATACAGTTTATTGTAAAAAAAAAAAAAAGGAATTTATGAACTTTAAAGAAAACATGAATAGGACTTCTCATATGCTTTGATACTAGCATTAGTGTAAAACTTTTTAAAACACATTGAATACCAAAAAGTATTCCTTAATATTATTAGCAATAAATATTAGAATACGTATTTATAAAATTGAAAAGGAAGTATTTCAAGACATACTTTAAGAGAAGGGACAGTTCTCTACTTATTGAGAAAAATTGGATTTTGTTTTTGCTTGGGGAGGGAGTTCAAATTGCGATCAGTTGCCAAATCAGACCAGAAACTCGTACTTTCTAATGTAAGAATTTATGGAAAGAAGCAAATGTATGCTGAATGTTTTCAGCATTCTCCACTAACCATACAATGTCTGATTTTACAGTTACACTTAAAACTCATTTGTATCAAAACTACTTCACATTCATGTGCTTTTTCAAATAAAAACTATAGAGTTTACCATATGCATAAACTTTACTAGCTAAGAAATTTTAGTGTCTGAATTTTTGTGACCATTTTGAATGTCATGCTTCTTAATACTCACGAGAAGCATCCTCAGGCATCTGAGCATCTCCTGCTAAACTGGAAATTACTCACTGCTTTGGCAAGGTTTTGATTTCATCCATCAAGTGAAAAATATCTTCGCCTGATGTGCCAAGTAGTGGTAAATTAGGTAGAGTAAAAGAATAAAAAGATTGTTCTTTTAAAACTTGTTAACTTTTAAAAATAAAACAAAAAACTTACCTGTGTTAAAGTCATGGTTTTGTGAGTTGAAAAGGTAATAGTGACTAACGTAAGCCTTTTTATGAATAGTGACTCAACCCGTAGAAACAAGAAGGAAATCTTCCTTGGATTTTAAAGCCCACCTCTTCATTCTTGGCACTGGAAATGATTAAAATCATTCTCAAAATAACAAGTGTGATGAGTTTGAATAAGCCAAGATGTAGATTACACAGCTACTGAAATGAATGAGCATAATGCTTGAGGCCTTGCCTCTGCCTCTGTTTGATGAGACAACCAGCAGGTCTACTCAGGGCTGGTTTTGGAGCTGCCCTGAGAGTCCGTGTGAGCGGAGGCTTCCCTGGCCTGTGAGGAAGGCCTCGCCTCGCCCGCCAGCTCCGCACCTGCACCTGCACCCCACTGCACGGCCCCAGCTCTGCCTCCTCCATGCTGCTGGGGCTTGGCAGCTGCGTGTGAGTGTTTCAGTGGCTTGTCTGCTGCACACAGAAGGGGTTGGGTGCGGAGTGATCAGTGGAGACTTGCAGGAATTACCCAGAGCCTTCTCGAAGGGTCTCATCCAGAAGCTCCTCCCCAGCTCACCCACCCATCCACACTTCCTGGAGGAAAGAGCATTGGGAGGCGGGAGGCGCTAAACCTGACCTCACCTTTCACTTAGGGCTCACCATGCACAGGCGCTTGTACCTATGGAATGTCCTCTGAGGACAGATTTTGGGTTCTGTCACTGTCTCGGGTACCTTCGTGTCCAGTGTGTATAGTAAGGTTTGTCTGGTCGGTTTGTTGTTGAATGTGTGAATGGAATCATGATGTTCCAATCTCAGTGTCATTTATTGATCTTAAAGCAAAGGAAGAATATTTTGAAAAGTGTACTCAATAAAAAGTGCTTGAATGAAGAATGCAGGACTACACTGCCTGGTACAGTAGCCACTAGTTACACATAGTAAATGAAGTTTAATTAAAAATTTAAAATTCAGTTCCTCAGTCATTCCAGGCCATACTGAAAGGGCCTGATAGCCACTTAAAGTGCAGACAGATGTTTCCCTTATCAGTACAACTGGGCAGCACTGCAAAGAAGCCCAGTTTCTCCAGGTCTACCCTAAACCTGCCAGCCTGCTTCTGAAATTCCTGATGAATCCCGGCCTGCTCTGCCCCATTTTTATAAATCAAACCAGTGTACTTTTGATTTAGAAAGCAGATGTCTCCTAATAGCTTGTCCTGGAGGACAGCTCAACCCACTGAATGCTTTCTACATAGCTGTAGAACACAGTAGTATGTTGTGAGCCCCAAGTCACACTGAGATTGTTTATTGTCAGCTTTTTGGAATGAACAAGCCTTCGTGTAAGCATCACGTGCCATGTTGGGCCTTTGCCAGGTGCTGGAGGGAAATGGGAAGTTGCTTTTCTTTTTGTTACCAAGTTTTTAAATTCTGAAGGTGTGTAAGGGCAGATTTAGAGAGTTACCACTTGATGACGGTTTTGACTGTGTTTCAAATTTAAAATTATAAAATAAAGATTAGGGAGGAAAATCAAATGTTATAAATTTATTTGAGATAGTTGCCACCTTTTTGGAAGCCTTTGAAAACTCAAGCAGGAAATGCTACATTTCCATCTTGTTTTACTTTTAATAAATAATATCTCTGAATATGTATAAGTAGGCAGATATACTTAATGAATTAATCATTTAGCAGGATTTTTAAGTTTTATACTGCATTCATCAAAACAGCTTTTTCCAGATGGATAAGATGGATAAGATGCACATGAGGTAAGAATTAAGGCCAACCCAAAAGGCATGCAAACGTAGCACATTTATGCTTACTGATGACACAAGCTCTTGTGTGGCCAAGGCGTGGCCTGTCCAGTACTACTGTACAGAGAGTGACATGTTTCAGGGTTAGGTTACATGACTGGGGGCTCAGTGCCACTAACACGTTGTCAGGAGATGCAGCATTAGCACGCAGGTACAGAAATCATGTAACTTTGTAGCACATTTCTGCCAGGCTTTGGAGGGTTATTTTTTATGAAATGATACAACATATCACATTGTGGCAGATTTTGTTGTATAATATATGCTTTTAAAATTCATCAGCAAATGACATTCTCATGCACACTGTTTCAAACACGAGAAGCAAGTCCATTTATAGGTAGTCCAAGCAATGTGTGTGTGTGTGTGTGTGTGTGTGTGTGTGTGTGTGTGTAGCTGCAGACTAAATGGAACGTTGAGACTTGCGCAGTCTGTAGTGTTGGCGTCCGCTCATTTCTGAATGTCGCACTGCAGGAGTAATACGATGGAAGGGTCGCTCTTTGCAGCTTCTTTGAACTCGTCCAGTGTAATCTGGTCATCTTTGTTCTTATCCATCTTGCTGAAAATCTTGTCCACTCGCTGCTCAGGCGTGAGGCCATCCTCATTCATTTTCATCATGATCACAGTGCCCACCATTTTGTAGATAGCCTTGAGGGAAAGGACATTGTAGATGGTATTAACTAGAAACCCAGGAGAGCAGAAAGCTGTTCTTGCCACCCCTTCCCCGACCAGACCCTCCTCATCTCCCAAGACTTGGCTTCTGTCTCCCCAGAGGAGGTTCATTTCCTGGGCTTCAAGTTCCCAGCACAGCCTTACCACTGTTCCCAACCACATAGTCTCACACTATTACAGGAATGCTTTGTCTTCTCTGTCAGCAAGGGCGTCTTAGGAAGCCGGGAATCATATTTTTCTTTCATAACTTCAGGGGTTGGCTCAATGCCTGCCATATAGTAGGTCTGTGATAAATACTGATTGATCCATTCAATTTGCTAGAGCTTAGCAGTGGAGGGAGGACCAAGTAAGGTCCTGGTGAAAGATACAGCTAAAGAGAAGAAAGCAAAAAGCAGACAGTAAAGTTCAACATACCATAAGGAACTTACATTTTGAAGGACTCCTTAAGTGGTTTTCATTGAGTGAGTGATGTAATCAAAGACGTGAGTCTTGTGGCCAATTAGAAGTATTTTGCATGATTCTGAGTGTTCTGGCCAGAGGGAGTGGCCAGAAAGTGCTCAGTGGTGACATCAAGAATAGTGGATTAGGAACAGGTTCAGGGAGGTAAGAGGGGTGTTCAGTTTTAAATATTTTGAGTTTGAGGTCCAGATGACATTCACCAACACCAGCCTTGCGGATGTAGGAGAGAAATGTGATTGCAACCAGTAAGGAGTTTGTAGTGTGTTAGACAGTCAAGCCAGGTGCACCACTCACAAACTGAGCTCTGAAACATTAGTTCAGAAAGAATCTGGATCAGGGACTGTGAGTCGGAAGAACAGAGTAAGAAGATTCCAATTCTTTAGGTCACACTGAGAATTATTCAATCCATAACTCAATATGAACATTTCCTAGGTGGAAGTAATTTTTTCTTAGAAAAATGCCTTCAAAAAATAGAAGTCCATCTACACAAATAGGAGCGTGAGAGTGTTCATAGCATTATTGATGATAACCCAAATGCTTGTGCACTGGTAAACAAGGGAAATGTGATGTATGCTGGCAATGACAAGGATGAGATTCTGGTAAATGCTGCAACACAGATAAACCTCAGGGAAAGAGGAGATGCCATAGCTGCCACTGCCAGATAGGAAGGCCATACATGGTATGATTCCATGATCATGGCATGTCCAGGAGCCAGGTCCCAGAGACCGGAGAAAGTGGCCGTCTGGGTCTGGCCGAGGGCAGAGGAATCTTATCACAGCCTGAGTTGTGGATGAGGGAAAAGCAGACACTGTGCCTTCATGCCTGGAGTTTAAAGAGAGACAAATGGGCCGTCTATATGTCAGCTGTTCTCATTTTGTCCTTTTCAAAAAGGGAAATCAAAATCTGCAGCAAGGGATATGAAGAGAGCCAGCAGCACAAGTGCTCTCTGAATAAAGTCCAGGCAATAAGAAACGTAGACACCAGACCAACCTGCACCTTAGCCAGCAAGTCGGAAATGGTCCCATTATCCACCTCCAAGGTGGCTCTGTGACTCGGACTGGCAACGTGACGGTCTGGAAAGGACGTTCCCAGTGGAAACCCTCCCCTCAACGTGGACAGAGCCTGTGGGGCACGCCGGCCTCAGGATGAGGGAACAGCACGGCTCCGTGAACTCCGGGATCCCTCACGCGCACACGCTTCAGGGTGACTGGGCGTGCGTCCAGATGTTCACATGATCTTTGCTCAAACAGCAGGTCCTCACCCGTGATCCCCGGGGAGCACCGCGCGAGCACCCCCCTCACTCACGGGCCACGTGGCCTGTGCCCAGTGGCTCAAGCCAGGCAGACTGCCTTCGGTGGTGCTCCGCTCTGCACGCTTCCTCTACCACCGGCCCTGCCATGTGTCCGCACCCGCCTCACTCCCCTCGTGGCATCTTCCCTTCGCTGACCAGTGCCACTGAAACTGTTCCCGGGGTCTTCACCACTGCCCTCTGGACTGCCCACTCCACCCTCCATTACTGCAGATTGTACGCCTGTCAGTAGCATTTGGCATAACTGTTCGTTGCCAACCCCTTGGAACCTTTTCTGCACTCCCACATAGGACTCCTGACCCTCTCTTTTTCATAGTCCCACCTTATTTTCTAGATTCTGTCCTGAATTTCTACCTTTGTTTTTTGTTGTTTTTTTTTTTTTTTTTTTGGTACTTGGGATCAAACTCGGGACCTTGCGCTTGTGCAGCAGGCAGCGAAACCACTGAGCTAAATCCCCGGCCCTCCCATCTTATTTTCTGAACCCCTCGTGTGTCCTTGTATCTCTTGCAGAGTTATCTTGTATGCCTTTATTATCAAAACATTTGAATAAGTTCCACTGCACAGAGCTGGCTCCTACCTGCCAAACAGCCAGATCTCAGTGAATACCTGAGATAGTCCACTGAGACCTAGGATGGTCACGCATTGCTGGTAGGAAAACTCTGAGGAAAGCCTATACTCGACTCTTGTGCAAAGCTCGATTCAAGCCTGGAAGAGATCACCCTAGTCTATGTGACTGTCAATGCAAACCTCAATACTTGAATAATGACAACAGCACACAGGTAATAGAACATTTAGAAGGAAAAACACTGTTACCCACAACCAGGCCTCAAAAAATCAGTGCACAAATCCTCCCATGAAAACGACAGCAAGAGCTAGAGGTGCCAGGAGGACGAAGTAGGGGGGCCCTCAATGATGAGAAAGAGCGGCAGCTGCTGCCACCGAGGCCGGCCGGCACCTTCCGCCACCTGCCAGGTCAGCCACAGCAAAGTCAGCCATGCACTCTGGGCTGCTGAGGCGGCTGGCCTAGCCAGCTCCGGATCCCAGGAGCACGGCAGGGAGCAGGACCCTCCTCTCCTCGCAGGGGGAGGACACACTCTGCCCTGTGTCCTGTTCCCAGGTGAGTGGGGCAGCCGGCGGCACGGGCTGCAGGAAGGAAGGCCCTGCTGGCCAGGAGGGCTCGAGGGAGCCCAGGGAGGCCCAAGCTGCCCAAGCAAGGTGGAAAATCCGGCAGGCCAGTGTAGCTGAAGGGGTAGGGACCAGGCCTGCAGCCACAAGCAGAGGAACCCCAGGCGCTTGCAAATGCAGCTGGACGCGTGTGGTGGGGGCCCAGAGGAGACCCTGGGAGCCGCTGAGCTGCCAGCAGAGCAAAGCTAGATCAGGGCCCAGAAACTGACCTGTGAGGCCCTTCACCCCCGAGGCTTCTGCCTGCGGAGGCCCTCGGGGTGCGTGGGTGGCTGCTTAAAACCTGCGCTGCCATCGACAAGAAGGGCTGCAGCGCAGGTCGGGGGACCGCGGCCCGGGAGCAGCAGGGCCTGCTCACCTCGATGATCTCCAGCATCTCCACACGGGTGATCTTGCCGTCACCGTCCAGGTCATACATGTTGAAGGCCCAGTTGAGCTTCTGCTCGAAGCTGCCTCTGGAGGTGATGGACAGGGCGCAGATGAACTCTCGGAAGTCGATGGTGCCGTCGCCATTCTTGTCGAAGGTGCGGAAGGCGTGCTGCGCGAACTTGGAGGCATCTCCGTAGGGGAAGAACTGCGGGCAGAGCACAGGCAGGCAGGAGCAGGTGAGGCTGACAGTACCCCGTCCCCAGGGCTCACAGGCCAGGCAGGCCAGGGGGTGGTGCCAACCTGACTGGCCTTGACTGGGATCCCAGGGCGTGGGGCACAGCTTCTGCTGCGTCTGGATGGCTGGGAGACTGTGGCCTCGGGGTCTGTGTCTGGTCCCTGGCCCTTCCTCTCTGGCTCCAATCCCCTGCTCTGCCGTGAACTAAGTAGCTTTGCTCCACCACACCCTTCCATCATGATGTTCCTGCCTGAGTCCACTGACCATGGACTGAATCCCCTGAACCACGACCCAAATCCAACCTCTCTTCCTTTGCGTTCTGCACGTCACCTGTTAGATGCTAATCCAGCCCCACCTTTTCCTCTGGGAGAGGCTGGTGACCCGTGGCTTGGGGGTCCGTCAGCAGCACCCACCCGCTGCCTACTGCCTGCTTTGCAGCTCATCTGGTGCATCTCCCCCAGAGTGAAGACTGAGGCAGGTAGCAGGCCGCACGGGGATCCAGTGCAACCCCTAGCTCCTCCAGGTGTGAAAATCCAGGTTCACCGCCCCTGGGGCTGGAGAGGCCACCCAGACTGGTCCTTCTCCCACCCGCTCCCAGCCCAGCCCACACCCGTCTCCTGCCTGCCTGAGTTCTGCTTCTGACTCCCTTTTACAGGGACTTTTTTCTTGCAGAACAGACATTTAAAACCCATTAAAAATAGCACATGATTGAGCTCCTTTTCCGGAGACATAAAGAGACTTCGTCACAGAGCCAGCAGTCGCCAAGGGTGCGTAGGTGGGAGAATGGACCGAGGAGGAGAAGACGGCAGATCCGGCGGGGAGGTCAGACCTCGGGCTGGTCAGCACGGCCCTGGACAGGAGCCCAGGCCTGGCCCAGGAGCAGGCAGCTCTGGACTAGAGTGAGCGGACGGACGGACGGAAACAAACAAATCACGTGCTGCTCAAAACAGAGCAGTATGCGCGCGTGTCAGGAAGAGCAGGCCTCCCGCAGACTCCCAGCTGCTCGCCGCCTTGCTGCTGGCCACCGTGCTTGGTGCCAGCCGCGTCCCCGTCCTGGGCCGCCTCCCTCAGGGCCATCGGCGTCTTTCCCCCTGCACAGCCTGCTCTGGGCCCTGCTCCGTCCTGCTGCCCACCTTGCCTACCCCCGAAGCGCCCCGCAAGGTGCAAACTTTCCTCCCGGATCAAATGCGTCTTTCCACACCAGACTCCAGGCAGGAGGTCCGGGAAGCGGGGAGACCTTCCAGGCAGGGCCAGCAGGTGAGGGCGCCCGTTTCAGAGGCACTCGCTTCTGGCCCCCGAGGTCTGGTCCAGGTCCCAGTACTGTGCCGAGAATCACCGTGACGCCGTGGCTGCAAACAGCCTGCACGGTGCCGCCTCGGACAGTGACGAGTGAAGCTCCAGAGCTGCGTCTCCTCTCGTGGACAGGGCGCCCTCCGGTGGCGCCGAGGGGCCCGGCCGCGGGTGGCCTCCTTCCTGCGCCATCTGCCATTTCCGCCACAGTAGGCTCTCACGACTCACCGAAGGCGTCGGGCCCTGGCGCAGGTCCTGTCCTGGGCGGCAGGATGCAGAGATGAGGATCTCCGAGGAGGCCTGTGCTCCAGGGCCACACGTTAGGGCGCACACCCAGCGGGACACTTGCTGCCCACTTGTTGCCCCATAAGCGCTAGCGCACAGGAGGAGGCAAAGCCGCAGTAAAGCTCAGGAAGTGGGGTGCAAGGAGGTCGGGCAGACTCCGGAAGAAGAGGTTTCCCTTCCTCTTTGACCTGCTCGGCAGGACCCTCTCATCCCCACGCTACCTGGGCGCTTGGACCTAAGGACAAGCTGCCGGGTGCTGAGTGTGGAACCGAGCAGTTTCGCACTTGGAGAATTCTGCCTCGGTTTGCCCTTCCCGAGCCTGCAGGTGAGCTGTCCCTGCCTCTCCAGGTGGGTGTGATTTGCGATGTGCCCGTCAGCCGCGCGGTCAGCCCGTAGAGCTGGAGCAGGAGCTCTGACCTCAGAGCTGCGCAAAGCAAGCCTGGGCAGGCTCCCGAGTGTCCACCGCTGTTGGTCCACCGACCTTTCTGCGCTCAAGGATGTGAGGCTGGGCCATTTTCTTCCTTCCTGCGGGTTTCTGGCAACATAATGTGTCCACTTTCTTCTCACAGCATGCTTTTAAGTTAAGGGATATTTGACAGCTTTATCTAAAAATAGCCGGGCACCTTAAGTCAGTGTATAAAAAATTAATTTCAGCCTGAAAATCCTTGAGAGAAAAATCAGTCACAAATTTTGAGCTATAAAATTTGCATGCACCTCACAGAAGATCTGCTTACTGACTTCTGCAGCCTGCCTGTTTACTTCGGAAGAACCCAAGGACCTGGAGGGGCCTTGTAGTGATCGGGGAAGGGGACGTTACTGGGACCTCTGCCGTGGGTCCTGGCCCAGAGCCACCACAGCACAAGGCAAATTCAAGCACAGGAAATGAGACGTAGAGGGGAGAAGCTGGGTCTTGGGGCCTGGTCAGTGCTGCTGATGGCAACAAGACAAAGGCCCCCAAGCGCATCCAGCGTTTACTGAACACAGCCATGGGAAGGAATAGGGGGCAGGGTGTGCACTGAAGGCATCCAGTGAAACACTGCCAAACACCTGGCATGATGGCGCCAGGCAGGGCTGTCAGGGAGGAAGCACGGTTTATCTTGCTTGGATGGAACAAACCGGTACTGGGACCAGGTGCAACCCACTGGTCAGTGAGAAGCCATAATTCAAGGGAAAGGGTTTTCAATGGGGTCACACTGACCTCAGCTGCACTAACTCAGCAGAGTCCTGCCACTTCACAGACCAGGACTTGGGCCTCGGTGACAGGCATTAGCAAAGGAGCAATGCTAGCCTGACCTGCTACCTGACACGCCCCTTTGAGTCGCGCATAAGGCTTTTGCCTGAAAGAAAACAGTACAGCTGAATTAAGGAAAGCCACAAGAATGTGCACCCATAGCCCACTAGTACTGGGCAGGGACGTCCGCTACAGGCCTTTCCCTGAAACCTGCCCTGTCACCTCCTTAATGTTTTCAATCAGCCAACGCCCTCTTTCCTCTTTGGAGGAAGCAGCCCAAATCTGGACAGATCGCCATGGAAAAATGAAGCCATTTCCCCTTTGATCTTTCCAGGAAGAAATCAGGATCTTGAACTCTATTCATTTCTCTTGGGAGACCATAGGGCCTGAGAAACACAAGCATTTTTCATAAACCATTGGTGAAAATTTGTGTTTTTGAAATTCTACATTTTTTTCTCCAACGCCTGTGTTAAATGTTGACATGAAAGTAATGTTTGGTGGCAGTGACAACTATAAATATTTTAATATACTAGACAGCAAGGAGTTCAGGTTGAACAATCATATCTACCCATGTATATGAGACATGAGTATTCTCTCCTTGAACCCAGATCAGACCTGATACTGTAAACTGTCCTGTGGACGAGGACCCTGAGGCCTGAAAGGTCAGGCTGTCAGTGGCAGGGGCAGTTGTGAATGCAGATCTGTTTGATTATTTCTGCGATACCTTGAGGTTATCCTTAACCAAGTGTTCACTGAGGAAATAAACCCATGTCCATATTTGATGAAGCATTATATAATTCTTGGCCTTCACAGCCTTAAACTGGCAATTCTCTACTACATTCATTGGCACCTTCTGGCAGCATCCTACATTGCAGGGAAATTACTAACATGATAGGGGATATTTTCTAAATGACCAGTCTATTGTTCAACTCAACAAACATTTATTGAGCAGCTACTATGTGTCAGACACTGTATTAGGTATTGGTAATAAAAATAGAAAACAGAGGCAGGTCTGCAGACACCGTAGCAACATCATGAGTTGCGCAGAACATGCCGAATCAGCCTGCACCCCGGCAGCAATCTACTGGACAACCTCCCCCCCCGCCGTTCCTCTGTACAGCCACCTGGTTCCACACTACAAAGACACAGAGGACACTGGACCACCAGACCACCATACTTGGGTAAGTTGGAGTCATCTTCACCTCCCATCAGGACCAGGACTATCTTCGGGGGAAGGGCAACTATAACCTGCGATACAACTCTGCAGAGTTCAAGCCTACAGGAGGACAGGGAGTTCAATTTGGGACTTGAAGCCAGAATTCTCCCTGAAACTCACAGGTCTGCGACTGGCTTGCTGAGACTCATTGACTTCTATCTGCACACTGCTGCCCACCTTGTCTATTGTGACAGCAGAGACATACCCTGAAAGAGGCCCTTCATCTTCATGGTTATTTTTTATTCCCAAAATTAGTTTTATTATTTTGGGTTTTTTTTCTCTTTTCTTTTCTTTTGCTCCTCTTTAATTTTTTTCCTACTCTTTGCAAATATTTGTTTTTCTCTCCTTTTTTTTCTTTTCTTTTCTTTTTTCTTTTCTCTTTCCTTTCTCTCTCTCTTACACTCACTCTCTTGCTCTCCCACATTGTTCATCTCCCTTTTTGCCCCTGTTTTGGTCCTCAGTCAGAGTTCTTCTTTATTTTCCTAGTATTCTCTTTTTCCTTCTCACCTGTGTCCTCTGGCCACACTGCTAACCTTCCCCTGTCCTTCTTCCCATCTGTCCCTCCCTCCCCAACCCCTTCT